TCTCGGTTGAAATTGTCTCTGTGCTTGTATATGTGGATAGCCTCATGAACGAATCTCTCATGATGAAGTATGGTCAAACAAACCCCCATATCTGACATGGAATGACCAAATGGGCTAAATATTTTTTTAAACAATGCAGTACTGTAACTAAAAAATATTAATTATTAAAATTATTCCATAACATGGTTATATGCACTGAGCACAATGTATATTTTAATACACTGCTTTTTACTATTTTACTCTTAAACTTCGTATAAGAATCACTCTGTAATGCATGCGTTAACTCTGACTTGAGTGATCTTAAGCAGATAACCAATGAACATGTTTTTAATGTAATTATATTTGCATATCTAATCTGTCATCAGTATGACATAAGTATAACAAGTTTGCAGTCGATACTACATTGGGAAGTGGGTTAAAATGTAGTTACAAGATTTGAGGATACAACGACAACAACAGACAGAGCAAGTTAAAAGCGTGTAAAAACGAACCATGCCCAATTTCGCACTGGGCAGCCTTCATCCAGTAGTGTATTGACAAAGAGCTTTAATGTATTATTTACATTGACTTAAAACAAAAATGTAACCTATGTTGTTAAAATATTGATCTTCAGTATGTATTATTTACATTGACTTAAAACAAAATGTAACTTAAGTTGTTAAAATATTGATCTTCAGTATACAGTGTTATTGGTACAACAAAGGTCAAATATTCCCCTGACAACCTAGTTTTGAGAACCACCTTTCTCTGAAATAATTCTACCTCACATGAATAGCCAGACCGCCACTTTACCTTGGATTTCTCTTATTAGGAATTTCACACTTGCAGCCAGGTGGGATGCGTCAGGGAGAGGCAGGCGGGCTCTTCAGTCCGCTCCAAATCTGCCAATAATGACACAAAAGTTTGTATCTTAATCCCCACAGTCTTAATTATGGACGCCAAACAAGGTTGTCCATAGACTGAGTATTTGAACTGAGTATGAGAGTCTGACTGGACTGTCCGTTTGGCCTCTTACCCAAATACAAGTTAAGCCTCTTATCCAAATTTTGAGATGGTTTACCCACTGACAAATAAATTATCAGTCTATAATTTTAATGGTAGGTTTATTTGAACAGTGAGAGACAGAATAACAACAACAAAATCCAGAAAAACGCATGTCAAAAATGTTATAAATTGATTTGCATTTTAATAAGGGAAATCAATATTTGACCCCTCTGCAAAACATGACTTAGTACTTGGTTGCAAAGCCCTTGTTGGCAATCACAGAGGTCAGACGTTTCTTGTAGTTGGCCACCAGGTTTGCACACATCTCAGGAGGGATTTTGTCCCACTCCTCTTTGCAGATCTTCTCCAAGTCATTAAGGTTTCGAGGCTGACGTTTGGCAACTCGAACCTTCAGCTTCCTCCACAGATTTGTTTGCATTTTGACCACAAGTATTGTGGTTAATGCACACATGATTCCTTGTAAAAAGGTTTCAGTTTTGTTGCCAGAAAAAATGGGAAAAAACCCTATTATATTTTGGTACTGGCAAAGGAGGTCTAATGATGAACTGTATCCCATTAATTAAAATGCTTCAGAAAAAGGTGGTAACATTATAAACCCTCTCAGCTTTGACCTTTTAATCTCAACCTGTTAATGTTCAATCTAAATGAAAGACCGACTGGAGAAAATTGTTGTCAACAGGATAAAAACAAGAGCTCAAGTTACCACCAAGTTTCCAAAGTGCAGGACAAAATGGCAATCGCAATTTTGCAACAAAAAACGTTCCTCTGCTTTGTGCTATCAATGATGTTTCCCATCATACTAGATCCAGCTATATTAAATGAAAGTGATGGTATAGAAGACACATTGATAAGAAACAAAGCAAAAATATCATCAAACCTGTAGACTGATGTTCAACAACACCAAGTTACAATGGGCTCAAACAACAGTTCTGAGCCACAGCAAAAATATGCATTTTGTTTCAGAAAGAGGCACCAAAATCTGCATTGAAACAAATCAATGGCCATGAAACTCAATGACAGACGAAATGAATGCGCAAGGACATAAAGGCTCTTGGCAAAACTCAGTGGTGAAGTTGTGGCACAGGAGGTTGAAGTGCTATCCTGCTTGCTTGGCAGGATTGTATAATAGAGAGAGCCCACCTTTAACCATGACAAAGGTGGCCGAGCCTTATCTTCCAGAGAAGTTTATCCATTGGCATTTTCTGAACTAGTCACTTAAGTAATTGAGCTGAAATCCTGCAGTGAATGTATGATTCCCACCATATTTAGACGTGCAGATCTAGCAAAACTATACAAGCTGCAACTTAAACAACTGGGGGTAGGGTCACCAGATGTCAACTCAATCAGGCGAAAAGACCAGTTAATGTTGCATATGCCAGATGTATAATTGCACCAGAAATTAAGGGATGTATTCATTTCTTTAAGAAAAATGTTGGTTCTATCTGGGGGTAGGGTCACCAGATGTCAACTCAATCAGGCGAAAAGACCAGTTAATGTTGCATATGCCAGATGTATAATTGCACAAAAAATGAAGGGATGTATTCATTTCTTTAAAAAAAATGTTGGTTCTATCACAAGCTTCTGAGCATAATAAAGCTATCCTCCTCGCAAAAGCTGATAAAATAATGTGAATACATACGCTTGATCACGAGTATATATTTGATGGAACTTTCCATGAAGGATATGTTGAAAAAGCCATCCCACCAGCACCTCTTCAGTTTGTGAACGTGATTGAACATGGTGCAGATATGACATCACAGTTCAGGTTTGGTGCATCTAAAGCAGACATGGCTATGGCAAGGCTTTTTTTCTTTAGAACTGCTATGCAGGGTACAAAGTAGAAACAGAAATACGGACACTCCAAAGATCACGAGATTCCCCTGTTTATATAGGAATAGCTGTATTTGCTAAAATAATAATTTGGCAGCTTGTAAAAAATGTTCAATGACAGTGGATTCAGAATTTACTATGACAGAGTGCTTCATAATAAACTAACAGGGTGCTTGAAATGTCAGCGTAACTTGGAGATGCATTGGTCACAAAATGTGTCAGATGGGATAGTGCATCCACCAGCTTTGAGAAAAACGGTGATTTACATCGTTTGTCATGGATTTACATTGATCATAATACAACTGAAGCAATAATAAACTCTTTTTAAAAAACAACGGTATTGTTAACAACTTCGTTTAGCTCACGGTCGAGAAGTATGTCAATGTTGCCTGAGACACGTGGCGCCTGCGTTTTGTGCGAGCCGATTCCACGGTTTAGGGACCGCGGCATTTTTGACCTACACAAATTTATATATAAACTAGCTGTACTACCCGGCTTCGCCTGGGACTTGGATCCACCACGCCCGTCCGCCTTTGTCTCCCCAGTGGCGATGTTCACACAGCACAGCAGTTAGTCGTTTGACGCTGAGTGGACCTAGGGGAGGCCCAGGACCGGTTAAAATAATCGTCACCGGTGGTGGCCGTGAGCGGGAATCGAACTCGAGTCGCCAGGCTCATACGCAGCGCGCTAACCACTACACTGCGATGCGTTACGCTTCCATGTGCGCGGGTCACGTGACAGATTTGACGTCACAGCTCACTTGCCGTGCAAAAAAAAATATGCATTATTGAGCTCCCCCCCCCCCCCCCCCCAAAAAAAAGTGTCGTTTTATAATTTTTGCATGGTGTACAGTCTGGAAAGTACCCACATGGCAAATTTGCAGTTTGTTGCATGTCGGGAAGTACGCTAAACATTTTGAACAGACACATTCACAACTTTGTCTATTATATATATGGATATAAGGCGTCCATACAAAATGTAAATTGCTTTAAAGTAGCGAATTAATTGATACCGACTTTGATACAGGCATGCATTGTCACCGGATCTGAGTACGTGTGCAAAATGTGGAATTGATTGGACAACGGGAAGTGGACGAAATTTTGATTACAATATTTGACCACGACAGAGGAATAAAGTTAAGTAAAAATTTTTTCCAGAATCTAAGCTCAGACAATGACGGTAAGATGCGTGAACCACTTCGAATCAGAGAAGGAATCAATAACTCTGATTCAGGCTGCCCTCCTGCAACATTCGAAATGAGCTGCTTACCCGGAAGGACATTTGGAGTCAGTCAACAGTGCATCAGCCAGTAACTCAATACCTCTCGAACTGGGAGTGGCCAAAGGAAAGTGATATTCGAAGGGCAATTTGAAAACAAATGTTGCATAATAACTGATAATGTGGCTTTACGGCAGCCATGGAAGATACAAATGTTATCGCTTGGGCCTCAGATGCACGTCATTATGCAGCTGTGCATGCCACAGGACTAGATGGAATATAGTAAACCAAACTAGTGAACACATCAGTGGAAACACAATGACATGGCTCTATTGATGTTTTTTAAAAGGAAATGTATTTCATTAGACCTCCTTTGCCAGTACCAAAATGTAATAATAGGACAATGCATATATTATCATAGTATGTTTTTGGTTTGCATTTTGACTGCAGGTTTTGTGGTCAATGCAGATATGAATCCTTGTAAAAAGGTTTCAGTTTTGTTGCCAGAAAAAAAGGGGAAAAACCCTATTATAGGAAATGTATTGTTTGGCATAAAATGAAGGCTGTCTTAGATTTTTTTTTATCATTCAAGAATGGTTCCCATTTTTTTTACACAATCATATACAGTACATTAGATCCATGAGACTGAACTTTGCTCAAAAGGTATAATCAAAATGAACAATGTGAATACATTGTTGCGATCGTGAAAAAAAATATATTGCCATCTTAATGATAGCCATAATATTTTTTGACGGCATTACGGTTTTTATTTTTAATTCCCGTCTTATGTAAGTGACTCTTGGAGACACGGTAGTATCGTGCTGAAGTTGCTGCTTGTGGCACAATTTGAGCGATTATATGTAATTATTCATTCATTTTATTCGCTCCACCACAAGCCACACCCAAATTGCCACCCAATGCCCTCTCACTCTGGGTGGTAGGTGGTGATGGGGGGGGGGGAGTTGTTAACTCGGCTCTATAAAAAGCTGGTCGGTATGAATAGCCCAAGTCTACCAGCATCAGCGTAGTAGTCGTAACAGCAACAAGTGCGAGTTACCTCCGTGCAGTAGTGAGAGGCAGCGAATTATTACTGGGGCCATGGCTCGTCCGGCAACATTGACCATCCTTCTTCTGCTGCTCGTGCCGCTGGCGTGTGCTCGTCGAGAGAAGGGCAAGGGAGGACACCACCAACACCACCATCATCACCACCACCGCACAGAAGACGCCGTGAGATTACATTCGCACCAACCAAAGCTACCTTACCGACTGCCAGTGGCGTCACTAGGGGGATGTGGGGGCGTGCGGACCGCACCGGATGACACCATCAGAGGGGGTGACACCAAGATGACTGTCTATAAAAACACTTTTGCAGTGTTTCAGCAGAAATGTATTATTTTTGTTAAATAAAAAATATCCCTGTTGTTAGTCATAACAAAAATATTTTTGGTAAGCCCAGCTTACATGTACTGTATCAGTATACCTACAAGGCTAAAACTCTATGCTAATTTACTTATTGAACCTTCTAATGGTGCTCCGGTCAGAGCTGTCATTGTTACCCAACTCCAGTGACGCTTCGAGTCACGTGGCTTCGTCTGCACGCGCTACAAGCACGCGCTGTTGTGTTCGTCGCTGCTCGTGTTTTTATCGTCGCTGATTTTGTCAAATTTTCTGGTGTTTTAGCTCCAATGTTGTGGTAATTAGTATTTGTGAACCTATATCAGTTATTATTTTTGAGAATGAAGTGGTAATTAAAGGAAACATTGTAATTTAAAGGTGTAATTTTAATTGTACTACTTGTTCATGTCACTACTATGGCCACTACATTCAGTGATATACGGGTAACATTAGTATAAAACACGTTACTAATGATTCTGTATGGTCTTGACACCAACCCTAGTGAGTGACGCCACTGTCAACTGCATGGGGCGCAATACGTTCGTACTTCGGTAACCAGCTGCTTTTAGATTGGCACTGTTGGCCTGCGTACGGTGCCTAGGAAGTTCATACATGCACGCTGCTGCTGAACGAATAACTCAACTCAACCGCATTCGTTTAATAACACTGCTTTTAAAAGAGAGGGGATGGGGGTGGGAGATATATATTTTGACGACTTTTTACTTGTTTAAGGCAGTGTTATTGCGAGCTTGTATCGACGCTAATGTAAATCCATCTGAAGATTAGGCATTTACGTAGGCAACCATGCTAGTTGATAATTATAAGAACGTTGGGTTAAAAAAAAGTTGTTTTTCTCTTGGAGGTGTAGGAAAACCGTTTTGTCAACGGGACCCATTTGTCTATGGGTAACCAATACAATGAAGTTAAAGGTTAATTTTGTTGATTGTTAGGCCGCTATGAGGCCACAGTGGTCGTGTGAGCTGCCGATGTTTGTACCCTGCAAAGGGTCGATCGCTTTGGAGGCAATGCAACTTTATCCAAACTTTATCCTAAAGTTGCATTCAAACTACATTATATTTAAGCGGGCGAACAGCTAGTGCAGTTGCCGATGTTATCCTTAAGTGTAATCAAGAAGAGTAGTCTAGTGCACCTCTCCTCCACCTTTAACGAGACCTTGTTCTCTAGCAATCAAATGTAATCCGTCGTTTTAACGTTAAGGCGCCAAATGCCTTTTCTCATGAATTGTATTTTTTCGTGTGATTAATTTGAGCAAATACCGCATACAGCATCTGCCCACAAAACCTACGGTTACATTGGAGAATTGCACAAACTACTGGAGTAAAGTTTGACCCCTTATTTTCCCCCTGAGCAGTATAAACTACAGCACGCAAGCATGCTTTTTTAGATATGATGTGTAAAGGTTACGAGTTCAAAGCCTTATCTCCTTGAGCGTTTTTTTGTCGAGTTTGTGAGTATGTTAATGTTTAACACCACTTCAGTTAAAACACCTTTTAAATGTTTCGTGCCATTGGCTAATGATTTATGTGTGCAGTACCATTCATCAGGATCCTATGGTCCACATGAGCTTTGGATGCATAAGCAGATGCGTCGTGGAGGTCTACTAACCTCTTAATTGATCTCAGTTAACTCGTCCGTTATCCTCTGCATATTTAACTATCGACGTTAATAACAGCCATCCACTTGTTGTACTCGTGAGGCCTGCCGATATCGGCTGTGCGCTTGTGCTCCTTTGAAAGTGCCTTCAGCAAACCTGTCAACCCCTTATCAGTGCCGTTCCTGATTACAGACCTATTCAGACCTTAATGGTCACCCCGTGCCCCTTATAAATCTCAAAGTTCATCCTACAAAGTCCCATCACAAGGGAGAAACCCAAACATACACTTAATTTTTGCCCGTATTGAAACGGCTGTACGCCGCATGGACCTGGAAACTCAATTTGCCCTGTACAAGAATACGGGGTAAACCGTATGGGTTGACACGTATGCTTACATTTTGCCAACATACACAACCATGGTGGTTATGGTTAAAATGGGTCCTGATAAACGTACCATAGAGGGAAATGAGAATTGACCTACCCTTGGATTACAGCATCTGCACCGAAGGAGGTCGTTTGCAACCCAAATTATATTGTTTATGCTCGTAATTACTCTACTCATGGGCCTGTAATGTTAAACGTTTATTGTCTGTGTATATCTATCAAAATCATCACGATCCATCGGGCAAATAGCCCGTCGGTGTCCGCCGCACATTTCGTCATTTTATCCTTATGGCGGTTCCCCGGGGTACCAAATGATACAAAATGGCAGAGGAAATTAAATATTTTATTTCTGGGACACTATTTTTTTCCAGGGGTATGCTTAACTCCGCGACTGGGGTACCAATCAATCCGAAATCAGTGCTACTTCGCGATGTCGAAACACAGTGAGGACGATCGCGCTGAAACCCTGAATACTCGTACGCACCATAGTGGTGCATCGTGTACAGCTCGTCGAGATGAGTCGATTGCCGCATCGCCGACCATCAACAGACTAAAAATTACTGCATCACGGACATTATGCAAGAGCCGTGGTACCATGGTACTCCGGGGTTACCGCCATGAGGTTAATCTGTTTGCACTCTCCTCTGTCTTGTGACAATTATGCTCAGGTAGTGGCATTAACTTTTCTCTGGCACCAATCTCTTATGTCGTCATCAGGCCATTTCCTGTTAGGGCTTCCTCTCTTTTCCGATTCCTTCCGTTTGTTTGAACAACATACTAGAAATTTTCCCGTTGTCCATCCTACATATGTGTCATGCATATTCTAGATTGTATAAATATACTGGCAAAACTTCAGTGATGATTATCTAAACCGGTCTTGGATCTGCTGTAGGTTGACTCAGCCTCAAATGAGTTCCCTTTGTGCGTTGTTTAGCTTTAAAGCCATGAGGGAGACAAAAGCGGCCGATCGTGGTGCTGGCCACCGACACCCCCTCGTGTGCCGTGCCGGCCTTCATAGGGTGTTCACTAAAAGCACTACATCAACGTCTGTTAAATGTGTCGTGAGTCCAACTGAGTCGCAGACGTTGTTCTTTAGAGGCAACACATTTATTTGTAACATCAACATGTAACAAAGGAGTAACTGCCCCTTCACAAGATACAGCCTAGGCTGGTGGCCATCCAGCTAACTACCCTATACGGAGGAGTTACAGCTACGAAGGGGCTGACCCTCGCTTGGGTCCCGACCACGTGTTGATTCCTGTAGAGCTTCCAGCTTGTCGGACGTAGAGCTTCAGCTTGTAGAATGCAGTGACCCCAGTCCATCTCAGGGACCATCCTTATATCCCCCTTAGCCCCGCGTGCTTTCTCGAGCGTTCCAGCTTTATCTCGATCCCTCTCGAGAGCTCTCCCCGGACACGTGATCGCCCCCTAGCCTCCCCACCTGGGAGCCTCTCTGTGGACACTCCGGATCACGTGTCTACGAGGTCAACCAGAGTGCCATGGCCCGGGGCAACCCTGCCTCTGGGCTGACACTCTCCCACTCCCCCCTGTGGGAGCCCGCATGACACGCTATGCGTGGTGCCCGCGCAAACCCAGCACACACCAAGCCCCGCTAGGGCTGGTACTACACCCACCTACGGGGTGTACGCGATGACAGTGCATCGCGCGCCACGGACCTCTCGGGCCGGCCCTATACAGTGACATCTCTGATGTCACTACAAATGCGCTACTGGGGTTCTTGGTCTTTACTTCCTACACAATATTAATCCTGCTTGCCTTTCACAAGTTGTACAGGGATGTACAGCTCCAACAAGTGAAGGTTTCTAAATTGATGTAGGCACCTTATTTCGTAATAATTAGGGGTATTAAGATCTCAGCATTACTGGTAATCGCACGTAAAATGGTAACCAGTTTCGCAATCCAATGGCGGAGTACATAATCTTTTATTTAGACTGAGGAACCCGAGTACAGACAAGACTTGCACAATTCTATATTTACGGTACAAACAATGGGATCCTAGTGGAGCATTTTTTGTGAATAAACTTTCACAAGTGGCATTTATTTGCAGCTGCCATTTTTCTTGTCAAAGACTGGGCATGTACAGGTAATACCAAATGTGGAAGTACTCTATAAACGCTTTATTCGTTGAGACTGTCTAAATAATGTCCATACAAGTTCCACTTTGCTTGCATTGCAAGTAATGGTATATGATTTTGTCACACAAGCTCGGATTGTCGAGCTGACATGGCCTCCGTTGGAAGGAAATACCCTCCCTACATATCCTCAATGGCAACGTTGGTATTCTTCTTCTCTCTAGCATCGCGGCATTGACGGTGGTCCGACTGGGCTTGAGAAGAGACTCGAACAGCATGAGAATCACTTCCAAGGTAAGTTGCAGATAATGCGTGAGCATCGATTTTGCGATTTATAGCAAATGTGTTTTGCGGTTAAAATTTAACAGTGGTGTTCTGCCCTAGACTTTGAGGGAATGTTTCGCTATCTAAATATTTTCTTTTTACTGGCAAATCCCGAAGAAACGGAGGCAGTGGGTCACGAAAGAACTGCCATTTGAAATGTGCACATTATACCGTGCCTAATGAGGATAATTGTGGGATGTTTTCATGGCAGGACTTGAGTGTTCTTATAATCACCTGGAGAAGTACGTGGTTGCCGTGTCTGACTACATGCGGAACAAGTTTGGCCAGGGTGCTCCACAATATATACCCCTGGTAAGTCTTTTTCAGGTAGTCGTATTACGATGTAAGGATCCGTAGATTTTTTTTAATCCAAGAGTATAGGGATAGATGCTCAAGCGTATATTATTTTAATTGCAGGAAATGTTTTTTGAAAACCCAAGTAAAATTCCGAATGAAGGCCTTCCTTCCCACGGCGTGTGTCGCTTGCAGCATGGGGGACATTCGTAGTAAATATTGGCCTGTTTGTATTAAAGGGGCTAAAATGTGGTGCATATCATTGTGTTAATGTCCATGATGTAAACAGTTTTCTCGTATTTATATTATCTTGTACCTTTAACGATGCCTCGACATTATCCACTTGTCTAGGAGAAAGGTTCCATTTGCCACGAGGACGCAACTGGTAAGAAGGCAGATTGGTGTTTTGTATCCTTCTGTCGAGTGATTTCTCTACATCGTCGTACCGTCACTTGATTTTCATTTGGTGCCGCAATCAATCTTAATGTGCCGACAGTGATTATGCTATGGACTTGCTCCACACGAGTATAAGTGCTTGTATTCGTGCCGCAGTGCGTTTTTGATCATTTTTGTACCCCATTTAAAACTTGAACCCCATATGTTCTCCTCTAAATTACTATTGCAGATTGACCATGTTAACAATGTTATCAATTGTTCCGTAACATTTTAGTCGTACAAGACTGCAGCAAAGTGAGGGAGATGAACGCCTCTGTCAAAAGTGGAGTTTATAGGATTCGGCCACAAGGTGCACAGTCTACATTTGAGGTGTGTATTGCACATCTTTCAGAATTTCAAACGAAGGTTAACATCAAGTACAGTACCCATGATGTATTGTCCACCTTGAAAGTACTGCATGCTTCTGCACAAAACAAATTGAACAGTTTTAGTCCGACTTCTTCAATATATTCCATGCATAATTTTGGCTGTGGCCTGATGATGCTAGTTGTAATTATCGGCAAAACGTCGTACTCAAATTGTAAACGTTGTGGGTTAACTCTCCAACACACGGGTGTGCTGTACTAGTATCTAATTGGCATGTTCTGTTACGTGACAAACCTTACTAATTGGCTGTGTCGAGTGGTGGCGGGTTTAACGGCACATTTATATTTACGTGATCCAACCCAATAACCTCTGGATATTCCATGTGGTTCACGGTGTGTATATTGTCTAACATGTTGTAGCGTGTTTGCTCTAAAGATTTGACATTGTGTGAATTAAACAAATGTTTTGGGCATTTAAATATTGATGAGTTTAAATTGTGTACATTTAATGCATGCACAGGCTGTGATAATACATTCTGTGGTTCATGTTGTAGTGCGTGTTTGGCATGTCTTATTTTTACTCAATGTGTTGGGAACAGCTGTCGGAACGGAATTTCCCAATTAAAATTAACTTGGTACAGCAGAACGCCTCTCGTCGGTGGAAATATGGGGCACCCATGTTGCACGACTTATTTTCCGTGAGGTTATCCTTGATTTTTCTCTCCCCCTATATCCGGAGTAAAATTGCAGATTATAGCATGAATTTTCCCGTGAGACCCCACCTATGTAGAGAATAATTGCACAATTTAGAATTTGTTTAACCTACACGGATACTAGGTGTGCTTCAAGCGCGTTTGACGGCGGGTAAAATAGTATAATCACAATGCACGGTATTGTACATTTTCTAACTTGCTTATTTTATGCTCAAAAGACCTTGAGAAACGACAGATAAGCAGGAAATTAGCTAGAATCTGCACCAATAATTGCCTAAAAGATTTGGAATTTGTACAGGTGGGAGGAACGTCAGAGTACCCAAAGAAAACCTACACATGGGAGTGGTTGGCGCGGTTGAGTTGGGAGTGGGAAATGTTCCATGTTTAGATGGAAATAAATCTACTTGCTGTACTGCCATACCCTGGCCAAACCAGGAGATGGCGACTTCTTCGATGCCTCGCAACCACCTCCAAACACCGGTTTAGTGCACTTTGGCCACCCATCAAAGTTCTGTAGTTGATGTTCATTGCAAAATAACCTTTGAATACTGTGCATTATGAACATTATTTTAAGATTTGAAGAACAAACAGTTTTTTTTTTGCAACCAAAAACACGGATGAGCAATGGGATGAATTTGCAATATTGACACTTATTGACAAAGAAAATCTCAGATAATAGGAAGCAGCTTATCGCGGATAATACGAATTGGCTTGCGCGGTAAAATAGGAGTGTTTGTGCTGCAGATAATCGGAGTCGTGGGGTAACGGATAACACACCTCCGATTTAGCACGGTCGGCTACCTGCGGTGCGAAAGAAGTTCAACGTGAGTTCTCCTGCAGTTAAAAAAAAAATCCACAAAATTCGGTGACTGAAGAAGCTCCTCGCATGTGCAGTCAGTCACGTGTTGTACACTGCCGAACAACACTTGGGACAACCCGGAAACACAGCGGAGCAACACGGCACAACAAAACACTTGCAAAGTTGCATTTGGTGTGTCCTGCTCTTTTTTTTTGTTCCAGGTGTACTGCTCATTTGAAGCCGACGGTGCGTGGACAGTGTTTCAGCACCGCTTTGATGGCTCCGTCCCCTTTGGAAGAAAATGGAGCGATTACAAGAATGGCTTTGGCTCTCTGAAAGGTTTGTCCCCTTTTGTGCTGCTGTAGGTTGTCTGATGGGAAGATTGGTTTTAAACAAACAAGTGTTCGTATTGTTACGTCAAGATGCATCTTTGAGAACTTGTCTGTTTTGCAAAGACATTTACATGTTTAGTAGAAAATTGAGTCCATTTTAGGTTTGGGCTGTGACCCCCTCAATTGACCTGACGAATATTGAATCAGCATCCTAACTACCAAAATAGCTCCCCATTACTTGGTTCCTGCTACTGGATCATGTTGTACTGTTGGCATACACCTGGCCTCTGCTCTTAGCATCCCAAATCTGACAAGAGTAAACCTCCTCCTGGCTGCGCATTCTATTGGCTGTGTAGATGTTGCTGCTGGGAGGGTATGGGAGGCCATTTGGAGTGGAGTGTACTCTCGTTAAAGCCACACGGTGAAAGACTTGAAATGACTCGCGTTTGCGAATGTGGTGGTTTTGTGAAGGTGAACACTGGCTTGGACTGGAGAAGGTTTACGCGCTCACCCACCAGGAGGGCATCAGCTACACCCTGCGGATCGAGGTGGAGGACTTTGAGGGCGAAAAGCGTAATGCCAACTACGCCACGTTCAGCGTGGATGGCGAGGATGACGGCTACGCCCTGCACGTTGGCTCGTATTCCGGCGACGCTGGTAAGCAGGCGATTGGAAGCTCATAACAGACATGGCATAGGGAGGCTTGTATCCGGCAGTTAACCCTTTCTCGTTCCGATGACGTACGTGTGCGTTACCAGAACAGTACCAGAAGAAAAACGAAAATAACTTAATCGGTAACAAGGCTCTCACAAGTCCATGTAGGGGGTGTGTGGCACAGTTTGACGCCAGGTATCAGAGAGTGCGGTCGTGTCGTTAGAGTTATCTCTAAGTTATCTTAGAGTTATCTGTGGTGAGTTTAAAAACAACGACACTGCCTGCTCTGTTTCGGAATGTTAAAGCGTTTAAAACGAATCCCACAGTTCAGCCCTCACGGTTGCTCTGTTGGCAACAGACATCTCATCTCTACAGACACGTACAAATCCAGACCTACTGCAAGAAGCTTGATGCCTCTTGCCGCTACTCACTAGCTAGCTTCATATATTATTTACATGCAAAAGGTTGACCTCTGAAATTGAGGTAAAAAAACGCCTTTTTTTAGGAATCTAGGGTATTTGGATCTGGTCACTTGAGCACTAGCGATCTTGAGATCCCAATTTTTCGATTTTGACCATCTTATTGTTTAAAGTAGTTTCTTAATTGTAGGGAAGTTGATTGGTTTCACCTGGGTCACCAATGAGCATGTTTATAAAGAGCACATTTTTGTTTTGCACTTGCTGTTCTTTTAGAGAATTCCAGATCCGAGAATTACATTTTTAACTTGGGAATAGCCTCTTGGGCAGATGTCCTACAAAATATCTCTCTGTTCGGACTCGGCACACTGCTCTGAGATTACTGAATGGATTCATTTTAATGACGCCAATATTCCATTTAAATTAGGAAGGGATTTAAAAAGTTAATCATTTACACGAACAACGTTGTGTTAATTCTAGATTTGAAGCTTTCGTGACTGCAAGGATTCATACTATTCGGTTTTATTCGGTAAAGTCACGTAGGTAAAATAAAAGAAAAGAAAAATTAAATCACGACGTTTCGGAGGCAACACCATCTTCCGTCTTCAGGTGGAACAGTCCCAGCAGAATATCTGTGTCAAGTGCACAATTCCGAGACGACTTGGATCATATATAGGTCAGGGCGGGGGGGAGGAGCCAGAAAGGAACATGGGCGGGTGGGAGGGCTGAATTAAGCCGCCTTTTGTTAAACTGCAGGGGGTTCGGGGGGGAGGGGTGGTGTACTGCACACAAGCGGGTAAACAACCCTTTTGTTATGCTGTCGGGGGGGGGGGGGGGGGGGGGGGTTCGGGGGGAGGTGATGCAAGGCGTCAAGTACAGACCGACCTTTTGGAAACTAAAATGACCAACCTTTTTGGAAGCTAAAATGAAAACTTACGAAAAAGGCTGTACAATTGTAAGGTAGCTCAAGTTTGACATACAGCCACTGAGAAGTGGAAATGGCTGTACAATTAAAAGGCAGCTAACGTTTGACTTGATTTATAACATCTTTCCAGTGGTTGCTCAATTTGAAACCATCCTCTCAATTGAAGTTGTGTCTATGTTTGTATATATCTGGATCGCTTCATAGACAAATCTTTGGTAATAACTGGGAGGTTTGCAGAGAACTTTGGTATCAGAGAATATAATGTCATGAGAACCCGCTATGTTGAAGCAATGATCAGCCACGGCCGAAGAATTCGTTCTGCCGTGTTTCAAATCTGATTTATGCTCGCGGATTCGGTCAGAAATATGTCGTTTCGTCTCCCCGATATAGCAGTCACCGCAGGTACAACTCTGTTAGTCAATGATATATTGAAGGGTTTAACATCTCTTATATAAATTTTGATTTAAACCTTTCGTGACTGCAGTAATTCATATGCTTAGCTCTTTCGGTAAAGTCACGTTGAAGGGAAACAATAAAATAATAAAATATATATAAAACAATAACAATTCTCACGACGTTTAGACCATAACACAAACGGTCGTCATCAGGTGTTTGTGTTATGGTCGAAACGTCGTGAGAATTTGTATTCTTTTATATATATTTTATTATTTTATTGTTTCCCTTCAACGTGACTTTACCGAAAGAGCTAAGAATATCTCTTATATAATTGCAACATAGTATGTGGTTGTTCGGGGGCGCCTACTTTAATGTGAATGAATGAAAATGTATTTAAACTTTAGTTGTGATATTTACATTCACTTCTAAGAGCTATGACTTACTAATCACTGAAACTGTTCATATTATTTGCGAGGTGTTATCTTAAGGGATCTTAGGTGTTGGGGGGGGTCCTCCTCAGCCGTCACCCCTGTCGGCCCGTGAGCGTGGTGGCAGATCAGCTGGCCACAGCCCCTTATTACGGCACAACATCATCTGGGGGGCGTACATGAGGGGCGCGCCTCTGGTTGGCTGCTTGCTCGCGGTCACGTGACGCACTTCAACCAATCCGTGCTGCGTTAATCACACAATGACAGTCACAGAGTCAGTGTTATCTTAAGGGGTCTTAGGAAGTGGTGGGGGGGGGGGGGGATCCCCCTCAGCCCCCACCCCTGGGGGCTCTGGGGTGTCAACCTCCGGTCACGGGGTGGGGGGGGGAGGCTCTTATCTTAAGGGGTCTTATGGAGGGAGGGGGGGGTTCCCCTCCCCTCAGCCCTCGTGTTAATCACACAATGACAGAGTCACAGAGTCACAGAATGCCAGAGTGACAGAATGACAGACCTGGGTGTTTATATATATTTATAGAGCATCCAGATTTCACTTTGAAGACAAGCAGTCTCAATAGGCACTGCTCCTGTAATTTAAATTGTCGTGAATTATTTTGCAAATGTGATACCTTATCATTTAGATGAAGTTGACAATAATGGGTCTTCAGAGCAATATAACCTTGTAGCGGGAGCTATCTGAATGAAGTAACCACGAAAGGCAGCCATTAAGGGGGAACTGAACAGCAAGATGAATGTGTTGAATTCACAACTGATTTTGGAATGGAAAACGTAGCAAATATTGCTGGTGACCAAATCGCGAGCAATCGTTTAAATAAAATAAAATGCATCGATTGCCAACATTCCGATGAGGCCTTAAACCACATTGAGCGTAGGTGTGTGGAGGGAGGCACATTCCCTGATCGAGGTATCCTCCCGGTCAACATTTTTTGCGTTCAGGCGACTCGTTCAAGGGCGACCGGGAGGGCGAGGACCAGAACGGTCAGAAGTTCAGCACCATGGACAGGGATGGCGATGCCTGCAACCCTTGCATCTTTGGAGACATCGCGGTTGACAGCTGCAGCGAGGACAACGGGCAAACCGGCTGGTGGTACAGCAACTGCGGTGCGGCCAACCTGAATGGCGACTGGCATCCCAAGGGCAGCCACATTGGATGGGCCTCCATGGTGCGATGGCGTATGTTCAGAAAGGTGGCTCCCTACTCGTTTAAGTCCAGTGTCATGAAAATCAAACCTCTAATTAAATGAGTGGGAGGTTGCTCTTGAAAAAAGGGGTTGCCTTTGCCGCATGTTTGCTTCGCAGCGGAATCTTCTTTCGTATGGCAGGATAATTTACTAACAAGGTTTTATTCTCGTGTTTTGAGGTTGGCGGGCGGCTTCAGGAGTAGCCTGCCTGCACGATAGAATTCGGTAGTGGCGCTACTGTAGTGTGGCCAAGCAGAGTCGCCTTCTATCATTTTTTAGATATCAAAGTTTATTTAAAACATAAGAACAGGCTGAAAAGCAGTATTAATAACACGGCCTCCTCTCGTGTGAGTCACCCAGTGGCTGGGGCTCCACCCAGCCCTCTAATCCGTGCAACCTGTCTTACCAGGCCACTCATAATCTCAATAGACTTATCTCCCAAGACAATGGGGGGAATCGCTCATTTCCCTCAACCCCCATACTTTGCACAGGTTGTGTCAGTGCGTGTTGCACATGCCTCCAAAGTAATCTAATACAATTCATGCAGTTACATGTTTATAATTATACCGTGATGTAGGCGTACGTGCAGATCTACACCGGTGACAATAAAGCAACACCCTTATTATCGGTATACTTCCCATATGTTACTTGGTTTGAGAATGGCGATGACAGTTGCACTCTGGGCTTTTCTTAATTGTACATCCGGTCTAAGAGATGGATATACCTGCCGTGTGATGGACTAAATGGAGATCAACACAGACCATTTGCAGTTACATGAAACTTAAATCCTCAATTTTTTTGGATGACGGTTTAATGTTTTCTTTGAATGCTTCAAACTCCTGTTGATGACAACCCATACGTTGAGCTGCCTGATTGATGATACATTGCATTATGCTGAACCTTTACACGTGCGCTGACATTTTTTCACTGCTATATTTAAATTATTGAAATTATTAATCTAGTTTGAACAAACCAATTTTTTTATAATTACCCTTTGTGATTCATTTATGCATTTTTCTTGTTTTTTTATGGTGTACACATGATGGAATAGAAGTGTACTGCCTGGCTAAAATGTATTCAATAAAATTGTGAAAGATGAATTCATTTGGCAGCATCTGTTTATTAAAGAAGAATTCTGACGTTCAAGTAACTGGATGCAGCACGTGATACTTAAGAGGAAATGTAACTACAGAAGTCTCAAACATTGGCAGTTGTGCCTGCTCCCATGAGTACGTCTATTTGACTCCTTATACATGGCAAGGAGAACATCTGAATTGTGAGTGTGGGGGCCATGGCAAAACCCAAACTTAGATATACCAGTTTAATGCCCAGTGGTCTATTGGCTCTCTTTTTTCAAACGCGATCTAGGCCACAAATGGTAGCGCAAAAGTTGCTTATGTGGAACTGTATAGCAACCAAATAATCTGAACACATGTTTCTAAAATGTGGAGGGAGAAACCAGAGGACCCGGAGAAAAAATCCACGCGTCCACGGGGAGAACATGAAAATTCCAAATACACGGCCCTTCGGGGGTTGAACTTACGACCTCCTGCGTACCAGGCGAGGGAGATAACATTTCCACCACGGCGCAAATGATGCTTTTTCAATTGTTTTTAATGTTCACATCTCTTAAGTTGCCTTGTACAGTTAGGGACTGCAAGTAGTGAATGTGCTTTAGGGGTCTGTAAGCGGTCAATCCAAAGCTGACCTTAACGTGTCTTTTCTACTGATGGTTCAATCTTCAAACTTTATTTCATCTTTGCCATGTTAAGTGCCCATTCTACACTTTTCTTTTCGTGAAATTTGACACAACGGAGAACTTTTGCATTCACGTTCTATAGCTTAATGTTACATCTTAAAGCTGACTTGTCTCGTGTGCATCACGGTACTGTTTGCGCAGTCACACGATGGGCGGAAAACACAATTCGTGAATTGTGCTAGTAAAATAGAAGCATAATTAACCGACATTTATTTCTTAAGAAAGCTCAAATTTAATACACAATACGTCTCCACTTTGTAGCTTGTAAAGAAAACGGTGATGGTCTTAATCGTGACGAACACTGCTTGCTACTCTACACGCTTTGAACCACGTTAACATTTCTCGTGAAAAAATGAATAAAATAACGTGCTTTACAAGACGTCTAGTACAGCAATATAGTTTTAGTTCAATGTAGCATGCTTTATGAAGGTATACAGGGTGCTTCAAAACAATGTTAACACTTCCGAGAATTTGCAACAACACCACGTGACATGTGCTGCTGCCTCCGGGCCCTGGAGAGCACCTGGAGAAGATTCCAGGCCACGTGTTGACAGCGATGGCGAACAAGTGGGAGACTCTTTGACTTCTTGAAGCTATTCACATGACATTTGTTATCATGCTTAAAGTGTATTTATCCGTTCCTTTCCCATTAACGATAGTAGTCCCCATATAAGTGTTAACATTTTTGTTGAAGCGTCCCTGTATATTAGCCATTGCCCATCCGCTGCTGGATGCGAGGCTGTGATTTCCAGCATCCAACTCGCAGCTGCAACATGAACTGATCTCATTGCTCCACCTCCCATGGTGTCCATCATCCTCCCCCCCCATCAACCCCCGAGGGGTGCATCCTCTCTCTCTCCCTTGCCATTCTGCCCCACAAAAAAATCAAATCTGTTGACGCTGCTGCACCTCGCGTGATGTGGCATGGGGCCCCGATGTTTCTTAAAATTGCGAAGCGACCCTTGAAAAGCATCGGTGGGTGGGTGGGATAGCCGTGCAGCACAAACCCTACGAATCGATTGACGTGTGAATATCTTTGGTGTCGGGGTGAATCTCGCTTTCCCCATCCCATTGAACCTGCGTGGATGACCAAGGATGATTTCACAGCAAGGTGTCTTCGTGGTCTGGAGGTGGGATGAGTATCTGAAGGTACTCGAGGGGATGCTCCACTTTGACGAGGGCGTCTGTCCGGGGGCGTCGATTCGGCGCGCGTGGATTTCTGCGGCGTCTCCGTTTGAGGTCCTTGATCATCTCCTCGAACTCCCCCTTCATCCCATGGCCAATGTCACTGTGGCAGAGCACAGCAACGGTGGGGGAGGGGGCGCATCGTGACGTTGTGAAGTGACGTCACAGCTGCCGCAAAGGAGCGTGAATTCTTTTTTTTAATGATTGTGAGAAACGTACGCATGTATGATGGACTTGTTTCGCACCGTGCGTAGCCAACTCGTGTTAATCGGAGGTGTGGGGGAAGGACAACAAACTATATAAAAAAATACGTTCTAAAAGAAATGAACAATGTGGTGTAGTGGAGTTTTAGTGTGTGTGTGTCTCTGTGTGTATGTCTGTGTGTGTCTGTTTGTGTCTGTGTGTGTGTGTCTCTGTGTGTGTCTCTGTGTGTTTCTCTGTGTGTCTGTGTGTGTCTCTGTGTGTCTGTGTCTCTCTGTGTGTGTCTGTGTGTGTCTGTGTGTGTGTCTTGTTCAAAGATCTTTGTGTCTTGTTCATGTTTTTGTTTTTTGTTTGTTGCGGTTGCACCCGATTCAAGAGCCGAATGGCTCACAGGGCGATACCAAATAAATGGAACTGAACTGAATTAAGACATCACAACACCCATGAGGACTGACTATTGTGCATGAGCAGACTACATTGGCAAATAGGGTAATAATTCATTCGCTTCACTTTCAAAATTCATAAAATAAAGGTGCAGGTCAAGCTTGAAGCCCTCTTGTATATTGGGTAAATTCATGTTTTTTTTTCTATAAAAACAAAAACTGATGTAAGACTTTGAAATGTTTTTTACCCACTTGTTTTGTGATATGTAAGTTTGCCAAGATAATCAGATTACCGCATTCAATTGGAAACCTCACGGGGGGCAAGCAAACAAAGAAAATCAAGCGTTGTATTTTCTGAACAGGAGGGTATGGATATTTACAAGATATTACCCAGCAATGATCAATTTTCATTAAATATTTCAGAATCTACGTGACCCATTCCACATTGTTCACGGTTGTCCAGAATAGTTTTTTGTTTGTTTGTATTCTGCTTGTTTACCCCAGAAAATTCGCATGGTTGTCAAGTTTTTTCAGTGGGAAGGGAGGAGGGAGCAATGATTGCTACGTACCATCCTAATTGGGCGCCGCCGTGGCGAGATGTTAACTACCTCGCCTGGTGTGCAGGAGTTCGTACGTTCGATCCCGACCCTGACGATGTCTGTATATTTGGGGTTTGCATGTTCTCCCTGTGGTCACGTGGATTTGTCTCCGGGTCCTCCGGCTTTTCCCTCCACATTCATAAGCATTTGTTTTAGAGTATTTGGCTGCTTTAAATGCCCACGTGGTAATAAACTTCGTTGAACTATCATTTGTGGCCAGGTCGCTTCTGAAAAAGGGTTATATAACTCAGTGGGCCTTGCCTAGTAAAATTTTAAAAAATGTTGAATTTTTTAGTTTAATGATTAACTAACAGTGTAGTGTTTAAAATGTGCACCGTGTGACGCCGGCACACAGCGGCCTACTCTTGCGATCTTTGACGTGCCCTGTGAACCGGACGTCGCACACTTCATGATTAATGCGCACCACAGTATTAACCAGGAGCGGCCGCTGCAAATCGAACCACGCGCATCTGCAGCAAGCCACACACACGCCCTTACAGCAGGGCCACGCCACCGGGCCCTCGGCGAAGGAATGCCGTTCTGACCTCAGCAGCAGACAGGGTGCACATGTAACGGGATGGCCCCGGTTGTGATGGCTTTGCTCACATTTCTGGAGGGACGGGAAGTGTTTTGGTCAGGTCTTCTTTTCCAATTAGCCAGTAGGTTACTTCAGTGCCGCGTCCCTGGAAATTAAGGAACACTAACTCGAGTCAGTATTGACCATCCTATAATAGTATTATTATTAAACAACAGTACTGTATAGCAGTAGAATTACGTCATAATAAGTGTGACGGTGTGCTTCAGTCTATGGGCATTTACAATCTACATTCATATATGTAAATATCATGGGCGGAGTTTGAAGGGGGGGGGGGGGGCATGGGGGAAGGGGGCAACGCCCCGGCCAAACTGGACACCATTAATTTATTTTCAGTATAGTTTACAAAAAAAAGATTAAACATTTATTAATTATAATATGCACCGGCGATTCCTAATGCGAGCGATAAAGCGAACCCCTGCTAAATATGGCAGTCAAACTCTGCCGGCGGTGAACACAAAATTCACTTCCGAGGCAATTTAATGTGAACGTGTGCGTTTCGCGATAATTGCAACCCACTGGCACCGCTTGCCTTGAGTTCCGTGCGTCCTCTTTCCTCGAACACATGGCCCGACTCGATCTCTGTGAGTATCTTCACCGTGGAGGTGCTCGTGTGTATTCTCCAGGCTTTCAACACAAAACCATCGCAATGCGGCGAAGTGATTCAATCAGCGATGTTCAAGTCTTTTGCCAGTGATCAAAATCGGTATCGAGGTACTGGTGCCATAACGTTTGACCGCGATTCTATTCCCATTGAAACAGTTTGTTTTCTGTTAGCACTGTCGATTATATCAGAGCACCCAAAACAGCATTTCCTAAATAAAGCTGAAATTGGTACAATGAGCAGCGTGGTGAACTATGGTCAAACAACAGGCATGACACACGTCCAGCAGTAAACCCTTTCCCGTTCCGATGATGTACGTGTACGTACGTGTACATCACAAGTTTTTATTCCAATTCCGTTCCGACGACGTACGTCTCCATCATCGGAATGCGGAATGTAACCGGAAGAAAAACTAAGAGTAAAATTACTTTTTCAGTACCGAGGCTCCCAGAAGGCCATGCAGGATGGCGTGCAGCACAGTTTGGCGCCAGCTATCGTCGAGTGCAGCGGCCGTGTCGATACAGTTCTCCGTGGTGAGTAGAATGTCTTTAACAACAACAGCGCTACACCTCTCTAAATAAAATAAATGCTGAGTCGCTTGCGATTTCCGAGATTCAGCGATGGACGGGACCCACCCCCTCAACTTGCAGATGTCTCGGAACGGGAAAGGGTTTTTATTACCATGGGACTGTAAATCATTACTCATTGTCATTATACAAGTTGTACCCTATGGCACAACCACAGGAAGAGGAGTTGCAGACGGGGGGGGGGGGGGGGTGGGGGGGAGGGAGGCAAAGGGCAGCAGACAGAAGGGCAGCGATGCCGGGATGGAAGTTCCCAAGATGGACAGAGAGGGCACTGCTGGAGATGAGCAGCAGGAAGAAAAGAGGGAGCACTGGGAAGGAAGGGGAGGAAGCAGAGAAGGAATGACCAGCCGAAGATGTCGGCGATAGGAGAGTGATGAGAGGAGATGGAAGAGAAGGAGAGAGAGAGAGAGAAGGAAGGAACAAGTGTCTGCTTTCACAGGGGGGTGGCAGAGGAGAGGGAAGGGATTCAGAGTGGAGAGGTGGCCACATGATGGCGAAATGTTAACTACCTTGCCTGGTATACAGGGGGTCGTGGGTTCGATCCTGACCCTGACGCCTGCTGTATATTTGGAGTTTGTATGCCTCTGTCCCCGGCTTCTCCGGGTTTTCCCTCCGCATTTAGAATCGACAAGCGGTTAGAGTATTTGCCCACTATAAATCTCCACGCTTTAAGCCACTTCGTCGAGCAATCATTTGTGAGAGCCAGGTCGCTTCTGAAAAACAGCTACATAGCTCAGTGGGCCTTATCAGGTAAAAAAAATAAAACTGTACATATTTTTTTTTTAACACGTGAGTCACGTGAGTGACGGGGAGGCTTGAGCCTTCTCGCCTATGAGTGTTTGACACGCACAGCGATCACTTACGGAGCCCGGTTGATTCGATGCGCGACGCGGTGTTGACCGTGTCTCCGAACAAGCAGTAGCGCGGCATCTTGTTTCCCACCACACCGGCGGCGCAGCCACCTGCGGCGGCGGGGGCACGCAAGACCATCGTCGTTATCAAACTTCATACAAGTGCCTTAACGAGAGCGCCGGACAGCCGAATTAACGACGGTACAAAAACGTACCGTGGCATGGGACGAGATGGAATGGCGCGGTGAATGTCATAAATACGAGGACGATGATGATGATGATGCGTGAGAGGAAACGGGGGTGAAGGTGACAAGATGAATGAGTCGGTGGCGGATGGCTATGGAGATGGGGAGGGCATCAGTGATGACCACTGGGCACCCGAAGGCTGCAGTGGTGTTGCAAGACAACAAGGCCCGCGGTTCACGGGCTAACGAAAACGGCAGAAACACCAACATTGGCGATGAAGAAGTCTTGGATGTGTTTGTTATAGATGGATAAATACAAAATAAAAAAAGAAACATTTGCTAATAACACGAACGGGTCCAAAATAGGTGTTCATGGCCAATGCCATTGGGTGCCACCGCACCTCACTGGCTCGTGCTTCCTTCTACCTGATCCTAGTCAACTCCTCTGCCCAGTCAGCACCCAACTTCCACGGTCTGTTCCTACAGTCTCGGCATCATCACCATCACCCATAGACTCATCACACTGAGACCCATAGACTCACCACACAGAGACCCACAGACTCACCACACAGAGACCCACAGACTCACCACACATAGACCCACAGACTTACCACACAGAGACCGACAGACTCACCACACAGAGACCCACAGAGTCACCACACACAGACGCACAGACTCACCACACAGATACCTATTGACTCGCCTACAAAGATACCCACAGACTCATCACACAGAGACCTATTGACTCACCACACAAAGACCCACAGACTCACCACACAGAGACCCACACACTCACCACACACAGACCCACAGACTCACCACACAGAGACCCACAGACTCACCACACAGAGACCCACAGAGTCACCACACACAGACCCACACACTCACCACACACAGACCCACAGACTCACCAGACAGAGACCTATAGACTCGCAGAGAGACCCATAGACTCACACATAGACCCATATACTCACATAGAGACCCTGTCAGAGCTACGGTCGTCTGGAATTCCCTCCCTCTCTCCTCTCTCACTGCACGGCACATCGCATCTGTATCGTAACCTCTGTTGGAATCTCAAGACTTGAATGTCCTTTTTAAAGTTCAATTTGTGTGCATTACAAATTGTTACTCGTGAACGAATGGCCTGCATGGCATGGGGAAGCCCTCATCCAACAGGAGACTGACAGAGTGCAGGCACGTGACTTTAAGACAGATAAAAGAAGGAAAAGAGAGGCTGGCTACAGGCACGCTGAAACCATTAGCTTGTCTGGAGCAATCGGAGGCCCCCTCCCCTCCAACGTGGACTGACAAGCAGGGTGAAGTATGGTCAAACAACCCCCATAACCGGCAGGGTATGGGTAGGCCTTCATCCAGCAGTGGGTTAACAAATAACTTTTTGTATGTTGAACTTCTTCCGCACCGTACGTAGCCAACCGTTGCTCATGTGGGTGGGGGGGGGGGGGCGGGGGGGGCGCTGGAGTGGTACCGGAGTGAATTCCGATGCGGACCCAGAGAGGCAGGCCAGGGAAGTGGTCCACTTGGAAGGTGCCCACGAAGCCCAGGATGTCCAGGGCCATGTCGGCGATGTGCGCCGCGTGATGCGCGCCGTTCCGCCTGGGCAGCCCCGACACCACCATGTACGCGTCTCCGATCGTCTCCACCTGGAGCCGTGGGGACACGGTGGGGAGGGGAGGGGGGGGGGAGATGGAAGCGCGATCGCCGCTCGTCGCAGGGGTTCGCGCATCGAGCCCGGCGGCCGCCCTGGTTAACGCCGTAGGACTTCGCCTTCAGAGCATAATAAATAAAATGCGCGCCTGCCTGCCTGCTTCCCAGTGAGCGTCACGAGATCCGGTGTGGTTTCAAAAAGAGCCCGGGCATGGTGTGCTGACGCCACGGGACAAAAATTGGCTAAATTGCTCGCAAATTAATTAAGTGGGGTCGTCACATGGCAATTGTTGCCCCATCCCCCCCCACCCCCCCCCCCGATACCCCCACTGCGAAGCTTGTAGAGGATGACACCGCTTCAATATCATGACGACGCACAAAGTGCTTGCCACAAATGAACCACGGTAGCTCGCTGATCTTGTCAAGGAGCATAAAACCATCGTGTGAACTCCGGTCATCCTTGCAGCAGCAGCAGCAGCAGCTTTTGGGCGAGCCATCGAACAAAGATGGTCACTGCATCGTGCTCTATCAGATGCGCTCTTACGGCCGTCTGGAATTCACCTGCTTCTGATATTAGGAAGCCACTGAGAGCTGTGCACTTTTAAATCATCATCTAGATTGACAAAGCGATTCTACATCTGGTTACAGTACATCACCCACACACAAGTTCTCAATGTTAATTATAATGCGCTTTCTGTACGTCACATGTGGCACACCTACAAACACACACACACAGACACAAGGTCTCAATCTTAATTACAATTAGCTCTCTGTGTGTCACATGTTCTAGGTAGAAAACTCATTTCTTTACAACTGCTTTATGTGTTCAGCTTGTTGTCCCCGCCCACCCCCACACCTCCGATTAGCACGGCTGGCTACGTACGGTGCGAAAGAAGTTCGACACAATCGAGCCCCCCGTCACCGTCACACCTTGTAGACGTCGTACGAGTCGACGATGGCGTCGAAGGCCTTGTAGAGGTCGTTGAGGAGGCACACCACCTCCATGGGCTCGCTGTGCTTGCAGATGGTGGTGAAGCCCACGATGTCGCTGAAGTAGATGGTGACCGCATCGAAGAGCTCGGGCTCCACGAAGCCCTGGGCCTTCAGCGCCATCACCGCCGACCTGCGCGCCCCCGCCGAGGGTTCGAGCCCCGGTTACGCCTCCAAACCCCGCTCAACGGCGCTTTGGGTTTTTTTTTTGACCGTTAACGACCAGGTAAGCTCCGTCCCCTCCTTCCGTGCTCTTCTGCCGCCCGTCCAAATGGACCGCTCGTGACTGTCACCCCTGCCGCGGCAGGGCAGCGAGCCCGGATGCCTCCGGTCGGTCCCCCATGTTGAAGGGTGTATCGCGCCAGTTTTGTTACACGCCATTTGGTGTTTGTCCCCCCCCCACCTCTTTCTCTTCGAAATCTACTCTGCTTTCCACAATCTACTCCGTATTCAGCAGCAGTATTTTGTTACGGTGCTTTGTACTGTTGTTGCCTCCGATCAATGGCGGAGCCAGGCTTTTCAAGTTGGGGGGGGGGTAACCCCTCCAGCAATGAAAAACGATAGGAGTTGTTAGTAAGCAATGACTTGTCCCTTGCTTTTTATTCGGCGCGTGTGCGGCGATGGCGCAGCCATCGATCGAGGGTCGAATTCGAACCGCGTGGTGTGATCGGCATCGCGCTCGCTGAAGGTGAATGCCTTCAGGGAAGTCGTGGACTGTATACGAAACTGCGCACAATTCTGTGAGTCACTTATAACTGCTTTGCCGTTACTTATTGGCAATTATGGACTCAGACTATTGTCCTATCATCTCATAGAGTCCCTGGCACGTAATAATACGCTACACAGTGGCAGTGGGGGTCGCAAAATGCCGATTTATTACTATTAAACCCCAATGACCCGATCGAAATTAGGGATTTCGATTGGATCATTGGGGGGGGGGCACGTGCCACCCCACCCCCCCACTGGCTCAGCCAGTGCCTCCGATAAAATCGCCTGGGAAGTACCTCGATGTCATCGTAACTCGGAACTTCAACTGAGTTGAGCTTGGAGATGGCATTTTCAGGAGGCGACATCCTCACTCAAAGCTAAATTATAATAATTCGGCTGTCAATAGGCCGAGAGGCAGCAGAGTGCAGTGCAGCAACATCCTCTGTTATGCACAAATGTACTTTTACTTTTGGTATTTGCGGGGGGGGGGGGGGTGTTTTTATCTTGTTTGAAAGTATTACTCTTTAAGGTGGTAATGGTGGTTGTGATGGTGGCGTAGAGGTAGTGGCCATGGTGGAAATGAGTTATGATTGTGATGGTGGTGGTAGTGTTGGATGGAGTGGTGATTGTCATAGTAATTACGATGATGATGTAAGCGATGGTATTGGCGGTGGTGTCAATAGAGGTTGTGATGACGGTGGACCCCCTTAATGGAACATCTCTGCCGGTTAGAAACATTTAGGCTAGCCTGCCTACGATAAATCCTGGGTTTAACCAGGCTGGATTGTGTGAGGAGCTCACAAATCCTCGAAAGATCTGGACAAAGTCCCATCGGTGAGTTCCTCCGGCAGGCAAGGCTGCGTTGGCTGGGCCATGTAGCCCGCATGCCCAATCACCGCATGCCCAAACATCTTTGTTCGGCCGGATCGAGGGGGCTAAACAGGCGCGGCACGGGCTAGAGAAGAGATGGAGTGATGTGGTACAGGAGGATGTGGAGCTGAGTGGACTTGCCGATGACTGGTACCAGCGGTGTCAAGATCGGCCTCTGTGGAGGAGGCTCGTGAAGGACGCTACTGGACAGTTGGAGGCAGTCGCCTTCCAACAACAGAGGGCGGAGGAGCGACGCTCACAACAACGAGCGGAGCGCCGGGTGGCTAAAGCACAACAAGTTGGCACAGTAGGGGGCACAGGTGGTGCATCAGTCAGTCATCTCAGTCATCTCAGTCAGTCGACCCGTGGCACCTGGTTCTGCCCCATGACCTCCTGCCAGCGGGCGTTCGACACTTCACGTTGCCTCAAGGTGCACATAGCCTGGCACAAGGGTCGTGGTGACGTCACCGCCACTTAGCGGCAAATGGCGGTTGTTGTTGTTGTTGTGATGACGGTGGGGCGAGCGGCAGTGTCCCGAGTTCGATTCCCGCTCACGGCCAACACCGGTGATAATTATCGGAACTGGTCCTGGGCCTCCCCTAGGTCGACTCAGTCCTCCACTCGGGAGACAAAGGCGGCCGGGCGTGGTGCTGGCCGCCCACCCCCCTAGTGTGCCGGTGCTGTCCTTCAAAGGTGCCCGCTAACAGCACTTGCCCCAATGGTCTGTTCAGGCTATACTGGGAATCTTTGATGGCGGTGGTGATAGTCATGATAATGGTGATATTTCTAGATATCGGTGACAACGATGGTGTCTACGATGATGATGATGATGGAGGCCATTACGATGATTACCAAGGTGGCGATAATCCGGTTAATTATTATCGTGGCAGTTCTGCTGTTGAGAGCGGTGATGGCGGTGGTGATTGCTGCGGTGATGGCCGTGGATGAAGAGCGATGGGTCAAGGGCACTGTGGGCAGAGCCGCACTTGGGTAGCAGCTGGTAGTTGAGCTCGTCGGCCCTGTCCCGCTCGCGCTTATAGAGATGCGTGCGCTCCTCCACCAGCCGCTCCAGGTTCTTCGAGTACTGCTCCAGCCGCCAAATCAGGCTGTCCACGTACGTGCCTCCGTGGCCCTGGTGGATTTTGCTGGAGCCGAACGGAGAGCACGCACGCAGAGATGCAATGCGTTCCAGTGGAGGGGTTCTCCATCATGATAATAGTAATGCTCAGTCAAGGCCAGGAACTGTGTAGTACATGAGAGTGGATACTTGCAGTGATGACTGTTACACAAATTATTATGGTTTGCACTTTTTGCTAATACATATGCTGCACACGTACGTCTGATTAGCACGGTTGGCTACATACGGTGCTAAAGAATTTAAACATACACACGTACATACTCCATTTAAATGGATCAGATTTAGTTTCAATGAAATTGCGAACGAAATAAGTTATGTTCTGCATGATATGTGCTCCTCTTACTTAGAAATCCTCTTGAGGATGCCCTCCAGACGTTTGAAGTCGGGCCGTCTTTCTGGATTTTCATCCCAGCAGTCGGAGATCATTTGGAACATCTGCAGGCAAATGCAGACGCATTCACTGTAACGTCACTATAACTTTAGAAAAAAATATGATCTTCGAATAGGAATTAACTCACGATTAACAGAGTTTCTAAACCTTCACAACTGAGCTGCACATCTACAAGTGTGATCTCAAAAGCTTTAACACAAGCGCCAATGAGTGGGACGCTCTGGCAAGAGGGAGGGGAAACTGGTGCAATGGAGCCTGGGTAGTAGTCACGGGACTACGACGCGAGATCCATAATAGAGGGTTTTTTTTCGGTTAGATAGCGTAAAAATATAAATGTGTCGATAAACCCGTCACCACCCGACACATCCAACTAGTAAGGTTTGTCACGTAAACAGAACGTGCCAATTCGTTACGAGTACAGCACGCCGGTAGAGCCGCGATCGAAGCCCGTCATCTCATCGTGGCTAACGCACCACATAGCCTCGTGCTTGCCTGGCACGAGCGCTACCATTATTAATTAGGAGGAAACAAGTCCGTGGACAAACACGTGTTGTTGAAGTGTTGCAGAATCTGTACATGTGCATGAATAATGACCGGATCAGACATCGCTCACCATTGCTGTGAGCCAGGGCCTGGAACATTTTTTTTTAACCAGGTTAGGCCCACTGAGCTTTATAGCTCTCTAGCCGAGCGAGAAAAGCAGTGAAACAAGCTGATATCTTCACCTCGCTGCCTCCGGTCTTGTCCACGATGACGCTCTCTTCGAGCGTTGGCCGGAAACGTTCAGTGTCCTCCGTGCACATCAGGCGCTCTGTTATCTCTGCAGCAAAACAGGTGCACAACATGCTCCCTGGACAGAAGCTCCGTTCTTCACTCTGTCGTCCGGATATGCAACTGCCCTTCCTGAACACGTCGGCGAAATCACTGATTCTGGTCTTCAGGCCTTCAAATGCCGAGCACCACATGGCTATGTTCTAACTTCACCCCACGCCTTATAGGACTGAGTCTGATATGGCTATTGTTCACAACTGCACCCAATAAACAAAAAAATCCATTACCTATGACCAAGTGACCCCCAAATGCACCCAATCTCATCAGATCGCGGAAGCTCAGCAAGGGGTTGAGCCGCCTGGAGTGCTGCGGTGGCGAGATGTTAACTCCCTCGCCTGGTACGCATGAGGTCGTAGGTTCGATCCCGACCCTAATGCCTGTATATTTGGAGTTTGCGTGTCTCTCTCCCCGTGGCCACTTGGGCTCTTCTCCGGGTCCTCCGGGTTTTCCCTCTACATTTAGAAACGTGCGTTTAGAGTAATTAGCTGCTGTACAGAGGCGTTTTGGGTCAGATCGTGTAAATATATAAATGCGTCGTTAAACCCGCCACCACCATACACAGCCAATTGGTAAGGTTTGTTGCGTGAACAAAACGTGTTAATTTGTTATTAGTACAGCACACTGGTGTGATGTGGCTTACTCTCCAACACACCAGTGTGTCGGGTGTTGGCAGTTTTAACAACACATTTATATTTACGCTATCTAACTAAAAAACAAACTCTTATGGACTTACCATGCTTGTTAGTGTGGGGTAGGTGAAAGTTGGAGGCCCAGAATAAATTGGAATATCACTTGCCAGGAATGAAACTCAGATCAGCAGGTTAACAGTGCGGCGTACTGATCACGCTGCCACTGCCGCACCCTACCCTAAGACTAAAAAAAATGTGGGACATTAATTGACAAAAATCACTTCAGCCCGGAGTAATGATCTAACTGGAGGCCTCAGACCATGCCACAGGCATGGCCATTGTTTTGATCCCCACAGGCCTTGTCTCCTCAGCAGCACCCCTTTCCACTGGCACATCCGAGCCGTGCCAGGACAGAGGCCTCCCGGGACGTTTTCCACCGGCTATTTGCCGTGCCGAGCCGTGACCAAAAACGTGACACGCTGGCCAAGCAGGGCAAGGGGTTTCACGGCTTCTTCGGTGGAATAAAAAACAACCCCGGTGCCACCTTGAGCAGTTGCTGGGCCGGCTCAGCATGGGGCCCTGACACGTCTCACATGTGCCAGTGGAGAAAGGGAGGACGGGGAGTCCTGCCACGATCCCGCCGTCCGAGCGGCTCACCGCTTTCGCTGTAGCTCCCGTCTCGGATGTAGAAGACGCCTCTGCGGTAGAGGAGCTCTTGGAGGATGATCCCGAAGCTGTAGACGTCACCCTTGGGTGAGACGCCCCCCGCTCGCAGGTGCTCTGGAGCCATCCAGAGTTCTGATCGCAAGTCATGTCCGTCGGTTGGAATATTACTCATTGCTATTGCATGTTGCTTAAACGCCTCGGGCATTGCAAAACCGCATTGCGCCTCATCTCAACCGTTTAACGAGAAAGCCCCAGCAGGTGACTCGGCCCCTGGTCTGCAGGTGGACATCAGTCTGCCAATTGATGTCTCTCACGGTGGTTGTCAGGCGGGCTCCAAATCATAGCTAAACTAACCCATTTCTTTTTATTTTACCCGGTAAGGCCCACTGAGCTAGACAACTCTTTTTCATAAGTGACTTGGTCACAATGATAGCTCAACGAAGTGGCTTATCGTGTCGACATTTATAGCAGCCAACGACTCTAAACGCGTGATGTTGATTCTAAATGTGGAGGGAAAAACCAGACATCCCGGATAAAAAAATCCACGCGACCACGGGGAGAGAGACATGCAAACTTCAAAAATATACAGGCGTCAGTATTGAACCCACGACTTCCTGTGTACCAGGCAAGATAGTTAACATCTCGCCACCGTGGCGCCCCTTACGCTTGCCACCTTCACCGGCATGGTGAAATGTGATGGAATAACCCCCACGACCCTGCACGGTGTGGGGAGGCCCTCATCTAGCAGTGGATTGATAAAGGCCACGCATATGCACTTGTACGTCATGCGGAGATGTGACGCATTTTGCCACCGTTACTGCTTCCTTGGCGAGCCAAATTGCCAGTTGCTATTGGGCACACACGGTGTTGTCGACAGGGAGAACGACAATTACTACATTACCGGGATTATGAAAGTTAAGGCACCAATCAATAAAATGAATGCACAGCATTTAAACCGGTTTATTAGCAGGTGCTAGGGGAACTAATACATTGCAGGATCGCGACAGGTGGCAGCTGTGACTTGGGAAGGCCGTCATCTAGCAGCGGATTGACTTTGAATGATAATGGTACTTCTATTCTTACACGTGGCAACATGTCCCAGAAGCTAAATGCCAACGTCGAGGTCTGCTGCTAGCCACGACGAGAGGGCTTCAGGAGAGAGTCCGTGTAGCTTTGCCGTTCCCCTTCCTCCGTTGGGTGGGAGACGGCAGCCTCCCTCTCGCGACGTCTTTCTGCGTCACCCTAAACGCTACGACTAATGCCGTCATCTGGTCGAAGTGGACGTCGTTAATTCGAATCCAGATATTGACGAGTACAGCTATGTGCCCCACTCACATGGACTGCGAGCGCCCCACTCACATGGATTGCGAGCGCGCCTCTCGACGCAGGGACTGTGATCAGGAACGTAGGGCTTTTATGGGAAGGGAAGGTAAGGGAAGAGGAACAAAACTAAAAGAGAAAGGGGTGGGGACGATGATGAATGTTAATGCTGAACGCTGATAACATTGGCTTACTTGAGCTCGGTCTCGTTGGCCTTATCTCGTCGCATGGGTTTGAGCGCCGCGCTATGAATCTGTTGAAAAGCTTGTTTTGACCCCGGGTCCGCGCCTGAGGGAGGGCACCAACGCGTTTTAACATCAAGCGTTAGTCCGGCAATTGAGCTGATCATAAATGCGCTCACTGGTCAGAAAATGACACAATAGCGTTTGGAAATTGTGAACAAACTGTCCCCGGCTTGAAATTAACCAAGAGCACCTGTCGGCTGAGATTTCCACCAACATTTAAGGCACTTTGAGGCAGGTTCTGGGAAGGTAATTCTTTAAATGTATCAAATAGAGTGCTTTTAATCTTACTCTAGAAATATTAAAACTGTCACGTCCAATGCTGATAAACAGTCGCAAACCCCTGGCAAGTTTCATCACGGAGGCAAAGCGTCACTTGCCCCTCCTTCAGGTGCTTGCTTCATGTCTCCGCCTATGTCCGTATCACTGAGTAGGTTTCCTGAAGAAGGTCCCAACACGTGCAGCGAATCGTTGGACGTCATGCCGAACAACAAGCGGTAAAATCCCGACAAGCAGAACCGAATGGCACGACCGTACTTGCAAGACTTTGCTCGGCGATGCATGCTTGGGTGGCATGGCGAGCGGCTTTGGCACGATTGCCCGACGTTTCACTCCATAATGCCGGGAGATTCAAATATTTGTTTTTTGTTGCTGCACGTTACGCTTGCGAATTTATTTTCAACTGCACGAGACAATTTCCGGTATCTATAAAGTTGATTGTGTGGTGATGTGTTCTGTGTGTGTATATATATATACACATATATATGATTGTACCTTTAACATCTGGGCGTATGAAATGATCTTCTCCTTGACTGCATTCTCAGGACGAGGTGTGCTTTTCAAGGAACCTGCACGAGGAATTACGCGTACCACGTGTCAGGCTCACATTACGGCCTCTGTTCCTTGAAATGTTTCGACTCAGTCATCGCTCTGGCTCCATGCCATGTCTGTCTCTAGCTGAGCCTGAGCCAAGCCACGTCCGAGCTGCCTTTGAAAGCGACCGAGTTTGCTCAAGCCAGAGCTGAGCAGCGACTCAAGAGCTGTGAATAAGGATACGGGCAGGCGCGCTTCGTCCACTAGGAGCGTTACGGCGCTGACCAACCAAGCAGCTGGAGATAAGAAGTTATTTTTATAGTAAAAAAATACTTTTCTATAAATAGTTTTGTCGTTTACATTTTTAAAAATGTGTAGTGACATAGCGCTGACTGTTGTACAGCAGCTGCAACTGCAGGTGGGCACTTAGCGCACACGCCGTTCAGCATATACATGGGTCTGCCGGCAGGGCAAAGCAACTGGGGCAAGGGTCACGGTAGACCTCGTGCAGAAGCCCCTAGAACCCTCTGGCGGGTTCGAGAAGGGAGGCGCGGCTAGGGCGGAGCTAGGGCGGAGCCAGGGTGGAGCCAAGCCGCGCCGACGGGAATATAAGCAGCGGAGAGCGAGAGCTCCGGGCTGCCAGTTCTGGGATTGGACCCGTCGTCGTCACCCTCATCGCTGCCGCCTTCGCCCGATCATCGCGCGGCCGGACAGCGGTTGGCTGTCCTGGTCGACGCCGTCGGTGCAACATTGTGTTTTCCGAGACCAAAACATTGTTTTTTTTCGAGACCAAGGTGCTCTGCAAACCTTCTGGCTACCATCAAAGATTTGTTCATGAAGCCATCCAGATATATACAAACATAGACATAAATTCAACCGAGAAGATGGATATAAATTGAGCAATCATTGGAAGGACTTGATCAAGCAGGTAAAGTTTTAGCTGTTGTGTTGGCCGACTCTCTGAGTTGCAGTGCATTGTTTAAGTTTTGCTAAGTTTGATGTCTCAGCTTTCTTTGCTCTCTCAACTAAGCCCTCGTTGGATTGCACTTTCTTTCCCACAAGCCCTCATTCTATTACACACTCGTCTAGTTATTGCACTCTCATTCTCACATGTCCTTCGGATTGCACTCCCATTCTCACATGCCCTACATGCCATCTCTCACAATCGCTGGCCCCATCCTCTTGCCCGATGCGGCACCCCCCCCCCCCCCCCCCTCTCAGCAGTTTGTTTCTTTCACCTGAAGACGGTCGCTTGTTGTTGCGATCGAAACGTCGTGATTTTTATTTACATTTTATTTATTTTTATTTTCCATCTACGTGACTGTACCGAAAGAACCAAAGAGTAAGAAACCTTACTTAATTGGCTGTGTCGGGTGGTGGCGGGTTTACTCACACATTTATATTTACGCGATCTAACTTAAAAAAAAAACCTCTATTAGAGTGTGAAAGAAGTGCAACGTACGTATGTACAGACATACATATGTGGCTGTACTCACGATCCCTGTCTTCCCTCTCGCTGATGAGCCCAAAGTCCGTGACCTTCACCACCATCCTGCTGTCCACAACGCAGTTGATGGACTTGAGTCTGCCGTGCGCACCGATTTTGTTCTGCAGATACACCATGCCCTGCGCGCAGAGAGAACACACTTGCCTTACGAAGGACGTCGATAGGTATTCATAATCGTCTTCTTAATCATGATGGTAATAATTTCCATTTGTAATATGCCGCACAGTATTTTGCTCCCCCTCGAAAGAGAGAGAACGACCCAGATGCGCAAGGTACCGCAGACAGGCGGGAAAGCAGCCGCGCGGTGAGCCAGTGTCAACAACTGCTCAAGCTCTGCATTCCTGTACATCTTAAGGTGTTATCAGCCAATTAATGAGTGTTTACATGTGGTAGGAAAACCGGAGTGGTAGTGTCGCGGTTAATGCACTGCACTGCGAACCCCGGTGACCCAAGTTCGATTCCCACTCAAGGCCATCACCAGTAACGATTATCTAAATCGGTCCTGGGCCTCCCCTGGGTAGACTCAGCCTCAAATGATTGCCTGGTGCGATGTATAAACATCGTGACTAGGGAGACATAGGTGGCCGGGCGTGGTGTTGGCCACCCACCCCCTGGTGTGCTGTTCCGGCCTTCATAGGTGCTCGCTAATAGCATTTGCCCCAACAGTCTGTTAAGGCTACACGGGGGATCTTTGCCTTTGTTTTTTTTTGGGAAAACGGAGCACCTGCAGAAAGCTCACAAGTAAGAGGGGGAAACATAACCATCCCCATGACCATACAGAAGGAACAGATGGAGATTAGTCCACACTTGCTGTACTGCCTTCTGGAAGGCCAGGGTATAGCCCCTCGACGTCCCACGTGACGTGAATTTCACAACATTTGTGCGATGGAGGTCAAGCAGTCAGCAGGAGAGTGATGCTACTGAATGAATGAATAAATAGATGACTGCCTAAAAGGTGCATTTTGAGCTATGTCACAGACAGTGCGATGGGTAAAATAAGTTGGATTGATATTGAATTCATACAGTTTGTATGCGAGATCTCGATAGAAATAATTGTGTATTCATTTCACATGAGTCGTGCAAGTTGGGTGCTTAAATCAATGTATGGCTACACAAAGTGCATTAATTACTGCATTTCTAATCATTGGCCGTTTGTCAAAAAGAGCTTCATAGCTCATCAGATTCCTCCAGTATAAATACAGTTTCTGATTCTGATCATCATCATCATCAGCCACGGTCAATCCACTGCTGGATGAAAGCCTCCCCAAGCAACTGCCGGCTCTCATGATCGTCGCGATATAATTATCTACTTAACACCTGCCCACGGCCTGATCTCATCATTCCATCTCCTGGGCGGTCGTCCTCACGGATGCAAAGCTATTAATTGAATTAACGTAACTATATTCTCTACGGCATTTGTAATTGCCGGTGGTCCAACAAACAAGATTGGCCAGGTCATAGGTGTCAGGATGTTGCGCTTGCATGAAGACATGTACAAAAAGCGGTTTGTAATTATACTTGTGGCTCATGTGTAGGTGAAATGAGACTCGGGGAGACGATGAAAACCTGACCACACATGCGATCGCTGATGTTGGATCGTAGCTTCATTTTTTTATATTTATATATACATTTTACATTTGATGACCCAACCTAGCTTTTAGAACCAGACACTAAATTGCTGTGCTGCTCATGATTAGGCTGCGTAGGCAGCTCACAAAAGAGCATGGTGTTTGGAAAATCGTTGTTTAATGTCCCCCGCGAAATGTGACGCTCAAATTTTGGTGTGACCACCCTGACATTAACGACAAATAAATGAGATTCCAAAAGTGACTCGTTTGATTCTGGGCGCAGTGTGCAGCTGTACACAATTTAAATGTTTTCACTTTGTTGAAGGTCGCGATGGAAGAGCATCGAACGATTATGTATCATTGTCGTTGTACCCGGTGGAGATTCGGAAATGTTTTATTGCATGTATGTGTAGTGATGTAGTCACACGGACACTTAACAATTCTCCTGTGTCACTTTATTTACCTCGCATCCATTGTGGATGCTCCTCACTTACACTAACACACACACACACTTGTTCCGAACTCCCTGCTACACTCCACTAACTCTCTCACTCTATACTCTTCTAACTCTCTCACACTATACTCTGCTATCTCTCTCACTCAATACTCCGCTATCTCTCTCACTCAATACTCCGCTAACTCTCTCACTCTATACTCCGCTATCTCTCTCACTCTATACTCCGCTATCTCTCTCACTCAGTACTCCGCTAACTCTCTCACTCAGTACTCCGCTATCTCTCTCACTCTATACTCCGCTATCTCTCTCACTCTATACTCCGCTATCTCTCTCACTCAATACTCCGCTATCTCTCTCACTCAGTACTCCGCTATCTCTCTCACTCTATACTCCGCTAACTCTCTCACTCAGTACTCCGCTAACTCACTCACTCTATACTCCGCTAACTCTCTCACTCAGTACTCCGCTATCTCTCTCACTCTATACTCCGCTATCTCTCTCACTCAACACTCCGCTATCTCTCTCACTCTATACTCCGCTATCTCTCTCACTCTATACTCCGCTATCTCTCTCACTCAGTACTCCGCTAACTCTCTCACTCAGTACTCCGCTATCTCTCTCACTCTATACTCCGCTATCTCTCTCACTCTATACTCCGCTATCTCTCTCACTCAATACTCCGCTATCTCTCTCACTCAGTACTCCGCTATCTCTCTCACTCAGTACTCCGCTAACTCTCTCACTCAGTACTCCGCTAACTCACTCACTCAGTACTCCGCTAACTCTCTCACTCAGTACTCCGATAACTCTCTCACTCAATACTCCGCTATCTCTCTCACTCAGAACTCCGCTATCTCTCTCACTCTATACTCCGCTATCTCTCTCACTCAGTACTCCGCTATCTCTCTCACTCTATACTCCGCTATCTCTGTCACTCTATACTCCGCTATCTCTCTCACTCAGTACTCCACTAACTCTCTCACTCTATACTCCGCTATCTCTCTCACTCAGTACTCCGCTAACTCTCTCACTCAGTACTCCGCTAACTCTCTCACTCAGTACTCTGCTATCTCTCTCACTCAGTACTCCGCTATCTCTCTCACTCAGTATTCCGCTATCTCTCTCACTCAGTACTCCGCTAACTCTCTCACTCAACACTCCGCTATCTTTCTCACTCAATACTCCGCTATCTCTCTCACTTTATACACCGCTATCTCTCTCACTCAGTACTCCGCTAATTCTCTCACTCTATACTCCGCTATCTCTCTCACTCAATACTCCGCTAACTCTCTCACTCAATACTCCGCTATCTCTCTCACTCAATACTCCGCTATCTCTCTCAATCAGTACTCCGCTATCTCTCTCACTCAATACTCCGCTATCTCTCTCACTCTATACTCCGCTATCTCTCTCACTCAGTAATCCGCTAACTCTCTCACTCTATACTCCACTATCTCTCTCACTCAATACTCCGCTATCTCTCTCACTCAGTACTCCGCTAACTCTCTCACTCTATACTCCACTATCTCTCTCACTCAATACTCCGCTATCTCTCTCACTCTATACTCCGCTATCTCTCTCACTCAGTACTCCGCTATCTCTCTCACTCAATACTCCGCTATCTCTCTCACTCAGTACTCCGCTATCTCTCTCACTCAATACTCCGCTAACTCTCTCACTCAGTACTCTGCTATCTCTCTCACTCAGTACTCCGCTAACTCTCACTCAATACTCCGCTAACTCTCTCACTGAGTAATCCGCTATCTCTCTCACTCAGTACTCCGCTATCTCTCTCACTCAATACTCCGCTAACTCTCTCACTCTATACTCCGCTATCTCTCTCACTCTATACTCCGCTATCTCTCTTACTCAGTACTCCGCTATCTCTCTCACTCAGTACTCCGCTAACTCTCACTCAATACTCCGCTAACTCTCTCACTCAGTACTCCGCTATCTCTCTCACTCAGTACTCCGCTATCTCTCTCACTCAGTACTCCGCTAACTCTCTCACTCAATACTCTGCTATCTCTCTCACTCAGTACTCCGCTATCTCTCTCACTCAGTACTCCGCTAACTCTCTCACTCAATACTCCGCTATCTCTCTCACTCAATACTCCGCTATCTCTCTCACCCAATACTCCGCTATCTCTCTCACTCTATACTCCGCTAATTCTCTCACTCAGTACTCCGCTATCTCTCTCACTCAGTACTCCGCTAACTCTCACTCAATACTCCACTAACTCTCTCACTCAGTACTCCGCTATCTCTCTCACTCAGTACTCCGCTATCTCTCTCACTCAGTACTCCGCTAACTCTCTCACTCAATACTCTGCTATCTCTCTCACTCTATACTCCGCTATCTCTCTCACTCTATACTCCGCTATCTCTCTCACTCAGTACTCCACTAACTCTCTCACTCAAAACAACGCTATCTCTCTCACTCAGTACTCCGCTAACTCTCTCACTCAGTACTCCGCTAACTCTCTCACTCAGTACTCTGCTATCTCTCTCACTCAGTACTCCGCTATCTCTCTCACTCAGTACTCCGCTATCTCTCTCACTCAGTACTCCGCTAACTCTCTCACTCAACACTCCGCTATCTTTCTCACTCAATACTCCGCTATCTCTCTCACTTTATACACCGCTATCTCTCTCACTCAGTACTCCGCTAATTCTCTCACTCTATACTCCGCTATCTCTCTCACTCAATACTCCGCTAACTCTCTCACTCAATACTCCGCTATCTCTCTCACTCAATACTCCGCTATCTCTCTCACTCTATACTCCGCTATCTCTCTCACTCAATACTCCGCTATCTCTCTCCCTCAATACTCCGCTATCTCTCTCACTCAGTACTCCGCTAACTCTCTCACTCTATACTCCACTATCTCTCTCACTCAATACTCCGCTATCTCTCTCACTCAGTAATCCGCTAACTCTCTCACTCTATACTCCACTATCTCTCTCACTCAATACTCCGCTATCTCTCTCACTCTATACTCCGCTATCTCTCTCACTCAGTACTCCGCTATCTCTCTCACTCTATACTCCGCTATCTCTCTCACTCAGTACTCCGCTATCTCTCTCACTCAATACTCCGCTAACTCTCTCACTCAGTACTCTGCTATCTCTCTCACTCAGTACTCCGCTAACTCTCTCACTCAATACTCCGCTAACTCTCTCACTGAGTAATCCGCTATCTCTCTCACTCAGTACTCCGCTATCTCTCTCACTCAATACTCCGCTAACTCTCTCACTCTATACTCCGCTATCTCTCTCACTCAGTACTCCGCTATCTCTCTCACTCAGTACTCCGCTATCTCTCTCACTCAGTACTCCGCTAACTCTCACTCAATACTCCGCTAACTCTCTCACTCAGTACTCCGCTATCTCTCTCACTCAGAACTCCGCTATCTCTCTCACTCAGTACTCCGCTAACTCTCTCACTCAATACTCTGCTATCTCTCTCACTCTATACTCCGCTATCTCTCTCACTCAGTACTCCGCTAACTCTCTCACTCAATACTCCGCTATCTCTCTCACTCAATACTCCGCTATCTCTCTCACTCTATACTCCGCTATCTCTCTCACTCTATACTCCGCTAATTCTCTCACTCAGTACTCCGCTATCTCTCTCACTCAGTACTCCGCTAACTCTCACTCAATACTCCGCTAACTCTCTCACTCTATACTCCGCTATCTCTCTCACTCAGTACTCCGCTATCTCTCTCACTCAGTACTCCGCTAACTCTCTCACTCAATACTCTGCTATCTCTCTCACTCTATACTCCGCTATCTCTCTCACTCAGTACTCCGCTAACTCTCTCACTCAATACTCCGCTATCTCTCTCACTCAATACTCCGCTATCTCTCTCACTCTATACTCCGCTATCTCTCTCACTCTATACTCCGCTAATTCTCTCACTCAGTACTCCGCTATCTCTCTCACTCAGTACTCCGCTAACTCTCACTCAATACTCAGCTAACTCTCTCACTCTATACTCCACTATCTCTCTCACTCAGTACTCCGCTAATTCTCTCACTCTATACTCCGCTATCTCTCACTCAGTACTCCTCTATCTCTCTCACTCTATACTCCGCTATCTCTCTCACTCTATACTCCGCTATCTCTCTCACTCTATATACTCCGCTATCTCTCTCACTCTATATACTCCACTATCTCTCTCACTCAATACTCCGCTAATTCTCTCACTCTATACACCGCTATCTCTCTCACTCAATACTCCGCTAATTCTCTCACTCTATACACCGCTATCTCTCTCACTCAGTACTCCGCTAACTCTCTCACTCAATACTCCGCTATCTCTCTCACTCAATACTCCGCTATCTCTCTCACTCTATACTCCGCTAACTCTCTCACTCTATACTCCGCTATCTCTCTCACTCTATACACCGATATCTCTCTCACTCAATACTCCGCTATCTCTCTCACTCTATACTCCACTATCCTGTGCTGCTTCCCTCACACCTCCACCCTCGTCCCCGCCCCCAGCAGAGGATCACCCAAGACTGCTGGGGAGGACGAGGTGAGGAGGGAGAGGTCCCAGGCGTCTTCTCCCCGACTCTTCTGTTCATCATCCCTTGAGCACCAACCAATCAACTCCCCGTGTTGCTCCGCACACTCCGTTATATCTCCCTCCTCATTAGGGGTTCTCACTTACACCCAAATAAGATTAATGGATATTCGGACCACACAATCTGTAAAGCTATCACCCCAACCGGTGGGAAAGAACCATCTGAGGAACCAATCAAAACCATCACCTTGCCATACATAGCAGGGGTCACCAAAAAGACTTCCAAAATCATGAACAAACACACGATCCAGATTCAATTTAACACAGTACATAAAATTCGTGATCTGATTCCATCTGTGAGGGATGTGAACCCTGACATGCAATACCCCAGCGTCTACAAACTAAGCTCTTACATTGGGGAAACTAAGCGACATGAATTGGACTGTGTTCGTGAACATAAGGCAGACCTGAAACACGGTAGGACAAATACCTCGGCCGTGGCTGATCATTGTTTTAATGCGGTGGGCTCACACGAAATTAATTTATCCAAAACGAAGGAACGTTGCAAACCCACTGGCCATCAACAAAGATTCGTTCATGAAGCCATCCATATATTTCGACACAGACAATTTCAACCGAGAAGATGAGTGCAAACTGAGCAATCATTGGAAGGACGTTATTAACCAGTTTAAGTCATAACTGGCTGTGATGTTCCCATCCTACCACATTCCGATGTTAGTTGTTATTTTCGGCTCTTTGATTTTTTTTACATTAACAGATTAAATTTCTCACACGAACACAACTACCTCGCGCGCCATCCTCGAGGTTGCTGCTTCACGATCTCACATTAACATGCTAATGTCTCACATTAACATGCTAATGTCTCACATGAACATAACCACCTTGGCACGCTCGCCATGGAGGATGCTCGGCGATCTTGCATTGACATGCTATTTTTACCTGGCAGCCCTTTGATTGGTGGAAATTCCACCTCCGCCGCGGTCTCTGCCCACCACCTACATTAACATTGGCTGCTGACATTTGGGCTATGCCCATTTCAAACCTTTATAAGCAGTTGTCTTTCGAAGCCAACCCCCCTTTTCCTGATGACGACCGCTTGTGTTGCGATTGAAACGTCGTAGTTTTTTGTTATTTTCTTTGAATCTATCTACGTGACTTTACCGAAAGACCCAAAGAAATATGAATACCTGCAGTCACGAAAGCTTTAAGTCAAGATTTATGTATCCATAATAAGGGTAAGAAAATATTAGGTTAGAACGCGTAAATATAAATGTGTCGTTAAACCTGCCAACACCCATCACGAGAAATTAGTAAGGTTCGTCACGTACACAACGTGCCAGTTAGTTACCACTTCAGCACACCGGTGTGATGGAGAGTAAACAGACAACATTTACAATTTGGACGTACGTATGTTGAACTTCTTCGCACCGTGCATCGCCAGCCGCGCTAATCGGTTAACATAGTCGTCGTCGTCGGAGAAGAGGCCCCGGGGCTCGCGAACCGCTCACCTTGGCGATGTCGTGCATGATAGACACCTTGAATTCCCAGTCCATGAGCGTGTCCTCCGGGTAGGTGACCTCATCTTGAAGGATGTCCTATATTTGAAAGTGAATCAGAACAAGATAAAGTGCGTGCACTGCCACAACGAGCCCCCGTATAGCCTTAACAGATTGCTGGGGAAAGTCTTGTTAGTGAGCACCTATGAAAGCCGGGACGGCACACGAGAGGGTGGGTGGCCAACACCGCACCCGGCCGCCAGTGGCGATGTTTGCACACCGCACCAGGTACTCATTTGAGGCTGAGTCGACCTAGGGGAGGCCCAGGACCGGTTCAGATAATCGTCACCGATGTTGGTCGAGCGTAAATCAAACTCGGGTCGCTGGGTTCGTAGTGCAGCACGCTAACTGCTACACTACCGCTCTCCATGCACTGCAACACACACATGCAGACCAATCAATGCTATTAATAATATATTAATCAAACTCGAATCGAGTGTGCCACCAGTAACGTTGTTCTGTTTGTATTTATATGTGCAGCCTTTTTTTGGCGAGTCCACTGCCGGATGAGGGCCTACTCCACATACCATGCGGGCTGTGGGGGTTATTTGACCATACTTCACCACTTAGGTCGGTGCGGGTTTGTGAAAACTCGCGCAATACACCCAGGGGCATAGACGTGCAGTACAACCATGGATTTTGCTGCATTGCCCTCCGCTGCCTTCAAGGTAACAGCAGAGGTGCCTGTAACGCCTGTGTTATGGATGAATGGGAGAGGCTCGTTCCAAGCGCTGTCTGTTTCATACACGTTGCAAGTAACGGGTTCCCCGTGACCCCTTCAGCAGCTGGAGGACCCTATGTCCACCACAATGTTGAAACGAGTTAGTTTAACGCGTGTGGATTGAAACGATGTACCTGCTGAATCGAGTCGCGAGCCTGAAACATGAGAATCCGTCGAATCATGATGAGTGCAGATTTTTTGCACCCCAGAGTAAATGCACGCACAGCCCTTTGTCGGTTCCACTGCTGGACTAGGAACACGTTCGCCACCTTTCAACTGCACAGTTCAAACTGCGGTGCGACCAGCTGGCTCGTCCTTCAGAGCGAGCGCCTCTCAATCACAAGCACGAGAGTTCAATCCGTGGTTGGTGGTTGACTTGGCCCATCATCTCCCCGGGGTTGATAAAATAAATACCACCTCGTGGGGGAATTCAACAGTGCTTATCCCTTGTTTCATTTCAGTTTCAGTTTCATTTATTTGGTGTAGCCCTGTGAGCCATGCGGCTCTTGACTCGGGTGCAACCGCAACAAAACGAAGACATGAACAAGAAAACATCTTAAAGTGACTACACGCAACAGAAAAATCCTGGAAAAAACAGCAAAGTCTTCCAGAAAAAAACACCGTATTTCAACGCTGTGTGCAAAAATCCCAGTGGGATGCCAGTCAAAGAATAACAACCATAAGACAATGTAGATTGAAGTTATCAAGCTAACTCTGTACGACAACAAACAAACATGGCTAAATCAAAACGTTTTCAAAATCACCAAAATAAAGCGATAAAAACAATGTCACAGTAATCATAGGAACTGTGATTGAAATTTAACAATATACAGACTCGCCCTCGCCACGGTCATGTGGAATTTCCGCCAATGGCTCAGGGCTGTAAACTGGAGATGCCCACCACGTCAACGCCGCATTGAGCAGCAAATCACTTCGGCTTTTAATCAATAACACCTCCGCCGAGAGCCCAGCTGTGTCATTCGCGCTGGTGAGAGTTGAGCAACTGCCGTCACTCACCCAAAGGGAACCTCTGCTGCAGTAGTCGGTCACAGCGTACGTAACCCCGATGCCTCCCACCGTGGTCCCGTAGAACTTGTTCAGGTTGTCGCAGGCCATGGATATCAGCTGTGAACGAAGCGGTTTGCGTCGTTGTTACAGGATGCATCGCTGTGGAGCATCACGGTATGGCAGCGAGAGCAGTCTATGCCACTGCGGTCTCAAGAGGTCACACGTTTGGCGCATCGGTCATTTCGCCGACTACGCTTGTTGAATGAATGGATAAACAAGCGGAACCCATTTGCGTGCCTGCGCATATTAATAGAATGCATTTTTAGGTCCGGTAGCCTATTGACTTTCGAGATTAAAATTATCTCGCAGCATTTGCGTAAAAAAGCAAGCAAAGTGTTGACTGGTTTAGAACTTCTGGGGCTCACCGGCAGTAGGGATAGTTAAACAAGCGCTGCTTCATTAATAGGTTTTTACCTTTTATCTGGCACAAAAAACTGACACCTTTATACAAGGGATCATGTTTGCAATAACCACAGCACAAGTAGTCAAAATGCAAACAAAAAAGACAACTCTGATAATAATATGCACTGTCCTTGAATTTGATTGGTTCACACCCGAGACGGCTTTTCTTAGAGCCCAGTCTCCACTGGTGTTGGACCAGAAGACGCCAAAAGGCATACAACTAAAAGGTCTCATAATGTAAGTGCTTACCCCGAGCTCTCAATACTCTGATGGTGCGCTGTTTTTGAGTTGTACGCCTTTTGGCGTCTTCTGGTCCAACACCAGTGGAGACTAGGCTCTAAGAAAAGCTGTCTCGCGTGTGGACCAATCAAATTCAAGGACAGTGCATATTATCAGAGTTGTCTTTTTTGTTTGCATTTTGACTACTTGTGTTGTGGTTATTGCAAACATGATCCCTTGTATAAAGGTGTCAGTTTTGGTGGCAGATAAAAGGGTAAAAACCTATTACTAAATCTTGTTACTGGCAAAGGAGGTCTCATAATGTAAACGCTGCTTCGTGTTACCTAGTGTTGTTGGCCATCTATCTCAACTATGTCTTTGCAAGTCACCTTCAGTTGCTGTGGCATTTGAGAGGTGTTCAAATTAAAATTCTCACCCTTAAATTGATTGGTTGGTGATGCTGCATTGCCATTGGTGAACAAGCACAATCATATATATTACTTTAAGGAAGCTTTGTTTACGAGTGTGAGATTTGTCTTAATTATTTTATTTATCCTGATTAAATGTCAGTTATGCATAGCGAGAGCCACAGAAGCGGTGGCGCTTGCCAGCGATCAGAACCTTGGAGGAGAGGCCTGGTGGCTCACACAGATTTGTGAAGCTCCCAAGCTTGTGAAACGAGCGTGCGTGTTGCGACGTCGACTGCCATCCATTGGCAAATGCCCTCTCGTGTTGATGTGTGCCACTCTGCGCGCACTACACAAATCTAGCCGGATTGCAGAGCCTCTAGTCCTCAACTAACTCGGATCCATTTTTACTGACCACCTCACGCTGTCAACACATTTGGAAGCATAGCAAGTCACCAGCTTCAATCATTCGTAAAGGGAAGTGGTACAGAATGCTTTAAGATCAGCAGGGGGCACCCTGTCACCTTCAACTAGCATCCTTGAAACACGTGCTGCGTTGTATTATTTTAATTCATTTGTCAATGTACTGCTGAATTAAAGTCTCCTGCGTTGGTCACGCGGGGGTTATAAGAATAGGTTTTACTCTTTCTGGCAATAAAACAGTTTTGTTAAGATGATAAAACACCAAACAGAAACTCCTTGCAAGGAATCATGTTCGCATTAACCACACGTACTTACAAAAACACGCACACACAAAAAAACTACTCTGGTAGTATATGATGCATTGTCTTTGAAACTGATTGGTCCACACCAGAGACAGCTTTCTTTAGAGCTTAGTCTCTGTGTGCATGTTCACCACAAGTACGTGTGGTTAATGCAGACATGATTCCTTGCAAAAGAGTTTCTGTTTGGTGTTTTATCATCTTAACACAACTGTTTTATTGCCAGAAAGGGTAAAACCTATTCTTACATTTTGACACTTGGCAAGGGAGATCCCATGACATGCGGGGGGTAGTTTTATCATACTTCACCACACTGGTCAGTGGCAGGTTGGTGGGAAGGGATTGGGCGGGGGGGGGGGGCGTGTATTTAACCAGGTGAATTTTCGCCTGGTACAAATGAACGCTGAGTTCTCACCTGGCTAAACAAACAAGAATTGGAACTCGACTTGAGACATCACTTGCCACTGATGTTAGTCATGGCCAGGAATTTAACTCTCGGTTCACTGGGTTCATAGCGCAAGTGCACCAATTCACTGCGTCACCGTGAGTGGCATCGAATATACATGCCCCATGAACCGTACATTTTGTGTACAAATGAACGTTGAATCAACGTGACCACCACTTTGTGAAAAGCCAACAGGGATTGCGCTGTGGTAAGAGACCGGTCCCTGCCATAGGACTGAGACATTTCCAACCACGCGCCTCCGGGGACACCAACGAAGATGACTAAAATGCTCCTCCTCCGAGTGAGTATTGCGTTCTCCAATGTCTTTTAGGGTTGTACCACGGTGTTACAACCATCCGAACGCTGTGTCACACTACTGCGAAAGACCGAATAGTCCCATGAGCCCAGACCAGATATAATTTCGCTTGTTGGGCACCGTCTGAGGTTACATAACTTCAGTGGTTCCAATTGCTTTAAGTGGCCAATAACATTGAATTGTGTGATAACAGTTTTGAACGTGTGGGTAAAGAGCTTCATAGCTCATCGGATTCCTACAGTTTAAATAACATGATTCTGGTTAAGATTCTAAATCGTATTCGCCACATAAATACATCGGCACGACTAATTCTTGCTACCTTAGGTGGTACCAACTTCTACTCTGGGCCAAGGACTAATGCAGCATGGGAACTCTTTTGAGTTTGACCTTGACTTGACCTTGTCGTGGCTTTGTTAAAAAAAAAGAGCCCGTGCCGCTCAGTGACTCACGAGGCAGAGTTCCCTCTTCTGCGTGTTGGTGAACTCCCTGTCGTACACGCTCAGCGGCTTGAGCATGACCACCTGATGGACACAGGTTACGCGTTAGCGTTCTTCACCAATGTTCCACGAACCCCACCACCCGACACGGCCACTCAGTTCAGGTTGGTCACGTAAACAAAACATGCCGATTGGTCACGAGTTCAGCGACACCGGGTGTGTTAGACAGTAAACCCACACACATCCCTCCGAGGTCGGTAAAATCAATAACACTTGCTGATGGCCCTCAAGGTGGAAATGTAGATCATAATCCTTGCCATAGGAATGTGGAATTATCTGGTTCAGGAGCACAAGCGGAGATAATCACAGCCTCCCCCTCCCTTGTTTGATCGCGAGCGTACTTTGTTCGACCGCGAATTTTAAACTTGTGACACTTTTTAACTTCAGTAGGAGGACGGCTGCTCCATATTTGGAGTTTGCGGTGTCTCTCTCCCCATGGTCGCGTGGATTTATTCTCCGGGTCCTCCGGGTTTCCCTCCACATTTAGAGATGTGCATTGAGACTATTTAGAGTATTTTGCTGCTATGAATGTCCAAATGACGGGCCACTTTGTTGAGCTATCATTTGTGGCCAGGTCGCTTCTGAAAAATAAGTTAATACCTCAGCGGGCTTTGCCTGGTAGGATTGGGATGGTTTACTTTTATTTGTATGTGTTTGGGTGATTTGTTTTCTTGTACTCTGAACTCCTATCATGTTTTTGCATTGTGTGTTATTGTAACGTTCTTACCCACCCCCTTAGGTTTATAGCTAATCGGGTCCCTTCGGTATAAATAAATATTCTGATTCTAAATCTGAATCCTCTAAATCTGGGGACCGAACCACCAGAACAATAACGGCTCGTGATATTCGCATTCGAACCCTCACGGAAACGCTTCAGGACGGGCCCTACGGCCAGACCTCATGGCAGAGGGCAATGGGTTAAAAATAAACCGACCACACCACGGCCACAGCGCGGGGGCGACGCAACCGCCCCAGCCGCCGAAGCCGGCGCAAGCGACGCCGGCGCGCCAGCGGGCGCGGCCGGTGGCGCGTGGAGCGCTTTCGAGCCACCACCTGGCGCACAACGGCTAGGGGCCACGTGTCGTTGTCTCGTTGTCGTCTGGGACCGTCCCCGTGCTGTTGTTTTGCTGCCTTGCCCAAGGCTTGCGAATCGGTGTACTGATGCGATTTGAACGCATTATCTATTGTACGTATTTATATTGTCGCGATATGCCTACCCTTTCCGATGCTTTGCACTCCGATCGTTTTTTTTTTTTGTGTTGGTTGTCGTCGCAACTTTCTGACCCGACCCTACCGGACATCTGTGAAAAAGAGCTTCATGGCTCATCGGATTTCTCCAGGATAAATAGAGATTCTGATTCCAGAGGAAGCAGCGCTGGCGAAATACGCCTGCGTGTTGTATGTACGTAGCCAACTGTGCTAATCGGAGGCGCGGGTTCACCGCTTGACTTTCCCCACAATAGTGGCCCGGTACTCATCTTAAACGACCCTGGGCGGACGACGGACTGAGCCGGGAGCGTTGACACTCTCCCTCGTTGGACGCGCCGGCTAAAAAGCGGCGGTGCGCTTCGTCGCGTGACATTGCCGGGGACGTAAAGCGAGCTCATCAGGTGGTCACCACGTGAAACACAGCGCTGCAAAGGGGGCGGGGGGCTCTCTGTGGCACAGTCGACCTTGTTGTCGTATTTCTTCTTGGTGATGGCATCCGACTCAAAGCTACCGTCCGGGACGAAGTAGACGCTGAGCTTCCGCTGGTGCACCTGCGGCGGCAAAACGGGACATTTCAGAAAGCGGCGACGGCTGTGTGCGCGGAGACGCGGTTCTCGATTTTAGCGAGTTGATGGTGTCAGGCCGGTCACCAGTAACTGCGTAAATAATATCACGTTAAATTTGGTTCCACCCCCTGACCCCCCCCACTAATCTCTGACGAAATTCCAGCTCTGAGTGTGAAAACATCGAGTTTCGACTGTTGTGCGACGAGCCTCGCTCTAAGCTTGATTTGAAGCTTTCGTGACTGCAGGAATCCTTACTCTTTGGTTCTTTCGGTAAAGTCACGTGGGTAGAAAAATAATAATATGGATCACGACGTTTCGTCCTCCACCTGAGGACGATTGCTTGTGTGGCGATCGAAACGTCGTGTTCTATTATATTTCCTACCTAACGTGACTTCACCGAAAGAACCAAAGAGTACGAGCCTCGCTCATCTTGCGCCAGAGCGGGTGAGGAAAGTGCTGCCCTCCTCCACCGTGCTCGTTGGAGGGAATCCCAGGGGTAGCTCTGCGGCATTCGCTTCTGCGGGCCGTTCCCGGACACGAAAGATTCGTGCTGCTCTCTGTGAGAGATCCGAGAGAATTCTGTGACTCGTGACACGACGCCGACAGGGCAGTCGGGAAACAAACATTTGGGGGGAGAGGGTGGTGGGGGGGGAGGGGAAATGGCAAAATAAACACAGCGAGAGCTCGATGGCCAAGTTAACACGGTGGCTATGGCAGCGGTGGGGATGGAGCGGCAACAATTGATGTCTGTCAATTCCTACATTTGTATGAATGCGGCGTGAAACGGCGCAGATGTTCTGCTTATCGGCGCTGCGCAACTAACCCGGAACCCTGAAATCAATTCCCGGCCGGGTCCTATCCTCCTATGCCACCCCTTCAAGCCCTTCACCCCCCCCCCCCCCCCACAACTCTCCGATGTGGTTAAGCGTGAGCTTACGAGTGTGCGTGACCGTGTATGCATGGATGAGTGCGAGTGAAAAAACACACTCCCATGTCCGACACGGCATGAAGGAGGCCATTATCAGCAGTGACTTGAGAATGGCTGGAATTTTTTGTGTCTTCCAATGTTGGCGATTCGACATTGAACTTTGCAGCCACTAGATGCCGCTATATTCACCGCAATTAAAAAAAAAAACGAATTGTGCAAACTGGATTGTGTAAGGGGCCGTCCGTAGTGGACGATTTTGACCCCGACCCCCCCCCGTCGTCACACGGCGTCACAAAAAGTCAGACCCCACCTCGAATATGACGTCACAAAGCTCTGCCCCCCCCCCCCCCCCAAAAAAAATATATAGAACATGCTTCAAATCGCTTTAAATTATTGTCATTGCAGTGCGTATTTAATGTGGCGGTGCAGTCTGATGTTGTAGGAGAAAATATTTAAAAAATCTATTTAATTAAGTAGAACGTGTTGTCCATATTTATTTAAAGTTGCGCATTTTGATGTGACGTCACTTTTCTCAACCCCCCCCCCCTCGTCACACATCGTCACAAATGTCTGACCCCCCCCCCCCCAGGTGCGTGACGTCATTTATGAACGGCCCCTAAACTACTTCACGGCCACGTTTCAAAACTGTCGATTGCATTTCTAAATTGAATAGTAGTGCCGTGGTGGTGAGGTGTTATCTCTTCGCAGGAGGTCATGGGTTCGATCCCGACCCGTGACGATGACTGTGTATTTGAAGTCCACAAGCGTGGTCACCACATCTACGCCTCTACATAGGGAACAAAACAGGTGGACTTCTCCACAAATCTGGCTGACGCCTGATGAAGCTGGTTGTAATTACTGGCGAAATGTCGTACTCAGCTTGTAAATGTTGTGGCTTGGCTCTCCAACACACCCGGTGTGTGCTGTACTCGTGACGAATTGGCCACGTTCTGTTTACGTGACAACCCTTACTAGTCGGCTGTGTCGGGTGGTGGCGGGTTTTAACGACACATTTATTTATTTACGCGATCTAACCCAAACGCCTCTATTATGGCAGAACTGATAGCTCAGTGGGCTTCATCTGGTAAAGAAAATAGTTAAGACTCAGAGTTTACATTTTTAAATTGCTAATGTTTGCCTTCTGAAACAAAGTGCACGTTTGGCCCCTGCGCGTTATATCCGTGGAACATCGCTTCGCCGTACGTGACAGATAGCGCCCTTTATGTTCCACCGCAGGTCCCTGGGCTTGCCGACTTCTTTAAAAGACGGCGGATCGTCCATGGCCGCCCCATTCAAACCGAGGCTTCGCGAAAGTCAACGCGTCCGCGAAGCACAGCACAACTGCGGAGCCCTCTCCGACCTCCTGCGATGTAAAAGCGTGGGTACTCCCCGGCTCGTCCACGACGTCTGGCCAGAGTGGAAGAGCGGAGCCAATTAAATACTCTCCACCGGAGCTGTCTAGAGCTCCCACAGGATCGAACCATTCCATCAGCGGTGGTATGAGCAAGCAATTGCAGGGCTGCGTTTTTTTTAAAACATCTACCCTCGAGCCTAGAGGGGTTCTCTGGAGGGTAATGTGTGAGTGAGAGGGTATATGCATACATATATGTGTGTGAGTGAGTGAGTGCATAAGTGAGTGCCAGCCTTCATAGGTGCTTGCTCATAGCACTTGTCCTAACAGTCTGTTAAAGGCTATAAGGGGGGTATTTAAAGTGTGGGCAAGCGTTAGTTGTAGTGTGGTCAGTGTGCTGCACTAAAAGTCCGGCCACCCGAGTTCGATTCCCGCTCACGACCAATCACAGCGGCAAATATTTCATCTGATCATGGGCCTCCTCTAGATTCGACTCAGCCTCAGATGAGTACCTGGTACGGTGTGTAAACATCGGCACGTGGGAGACAAAGGCGGCCGGGGCGTGGTGCCGGCCAACCCACCCCCTCGTGTGCCGTGCTGTGCCAGCCTTCATAGGTGCTCGCTAACAGCACTTGGCTCAACGGCCTGTTAAAGGCTATCCCGGGGGTATCTCTTGTATTTGTCTTTCGGATCGTTGCACCTCGTGTGTGCTATTGTTTTCGTCCTCCGGAAGGTCCCCGAGCTTCACCCAGGGGATGACCCATCTCTGTGTCCGCAGCTGCCGCTCCACGCTGTACTTCCTGCGTTGGAGAGAGACGCGGGTTCCATCAGCAAAAGGGCATCCAGGAATTGTCGTCTTTTTTGTTGTTTAAAGCTCAAGCCTACAGCGGCAACATAACGCTTCGCTTTGGTCCGTGCCGCTATTGCTCATTAATAATAGTTTGATGTCGATTTAAAGCTTTCGTGACTGCAAGGATTCATCCTCTTTGGTTCTTTCGGTAAAGTCACGTAGAATGACAGCTCTGTCATCCCGACAGTTCTGTTCTTTCACCTGAAGAAGGCCACTTGTGTTGTGGCCGAAACGTCGTGAGAATTTTATTGTGTTATTTTATATTATTAAATTATTATTTTATTCTCATTCTACGTGACTTTACTGAAAGAACCAAAGAAGATGGATAGTTTGATGGCACGTCATTCGTGCGAATTGTGCTCATGAACGCTGAGCATTGCGAATCACGTTTCGATACGAATAGTGACGACGCGCGATGATTTCAACTTGTAACTCGCCACTGCGCGGTATTCACTCACTATCGTTGAGAGACAACGATTCGGAGGCGAGAAGGAGGAACCGTAGACAAGCAGTAAAGCAGGCACGTCATGAGCCGGCGCCAACAATCGCCCAAGCTCTGCGGTCCTCTACATATGAAGGTGTTATCGGCCAATGAATGAGCGTTTACATGTGGGAGGAAACGGAAGCACCCGGAGAAAACACACGTGTGCGAGGGGGGAACACTCGATCCCCATACAGACAACACAGGTGGAGTCCACATTTTTGCTGTACTGCCTTCTTTCGTATGTCTTTATGTTGAACTTCTTTCGCACCGTACGTAGCCAACCGTGCTAATCGGAGGTGCAAGTCAGGGTGTGGCACTGGCTCGACGTCCACTGAAAGCGAGGTTCACAACGTTTGTGCGATCCGCCAGCCCTTGCCCCCCCACAGTGCTGGATTTACAGGCCACGTGCATAGCCACTATTGCCCAGATATGCATCAAAACATTGTTCGGACCACAGTGAAAAACAACACGAACCAGATCGAGGGTACTGAGGTTAACACATCACGAGCTCGAAGCGGCGACAGTCACACATGAGTGCTCCACATCAGAATAAGTCCCCAGAATGACCAAACGGATGCCCGTGGTGCCAATCCTGGAGCATCTCGCTTAGCTCCTCACACCAGCCCAGGGTATTGTCAAGTCACACACGCAAAAAGTCACGTGCAACGCGCGATTGGTTGAAATGAAGACGCATCGTTGTGGGAAGCCATGGTGCATTGGTTCATGCACTGCACTATTATGACCCTGGTTTCCTGAGTTAAATTGCTGGACACGACCAACATCAGTGGTGAGTGACACCAGGCATGATGTTGTTTGGCCACACTTCAACACGGTGAAGTGTGGCCAAACAACCCCATGCCTGACAGGGATGAATATTCTACATATTAGTAAAACAGCGAACAGATTATTTAATGGACGGAAGGGTGGTACAGTGGTAATGCTTGTGTCTTACGGCAAGGTCCTGGGTTCAATTCCCAACGTGAGTGCAGAGCAGGGCAGAGGAGCGACGCTCACAACAACGAGCAGAGTGCCGGGCAACTAAATTGCGATAAGTTGGCACTGTAGGCAGCACAGCTGGTGCGTCTGCCAGTCATCTCGGTCAGTCAACCCGTGGCACCTGGGTCTGTCCCGTGGCCTCCTGTCAGCGAGCCTTCGACACTTCACGTGGCCGCAAAGTGCACCTGGCCTGGCACAGGCGCCGTGGGGACGTCACGGTCACTGAATGGTGAAGGGCGGATGTTGGAGTGTGTATGCTCTCCACCTGTTCCTCATGGGTTTCCTCTGGGTTCTCCGTTTTTCTCCCATATCTAAAATACCGCCGTATGTTGCAACCAATATTGGCCAAAACATCCCAATTTTTAGAAAGAGAGGAAAAAAACCGTGAAAAGTACCCAATTGAGATTCGGTGAGGCTTTCCTGGGTAAACAAGTGTGGTAGTAATTGTAAATAATCAGGAGATTCCTGAAAATAATAAACTTAGTTACAAAAAGTGAAATGTTTGCTGCAGTTATAAATATAATGTCAAATTCCATTTTAACAGAATTGCAAAATAGCTGCTTTGACAGTGCACAACTGTATACAACTATTCTCATACGTTGACTGCATTCGTACACAATGCACCAGGCTAAAAAAAGACCCACTTCACACCGTCGTATAAGGGAAACAAGGCCAGTGGTGTAACCACGATTTATAGAAGACGAATAGTCACAATAACTTCCTTTGTTGTTGAGAAACCCATCAATTGCAGAGAGAGTCCTTTAGCTTGGCGACAAGATGGGCGTGAGGCCAAATTCGTGACTTTGTCCATTGTGAATTGAGAAGCAATGCAGTGAAAACGCCGAGTGGAATTAATTGAAGACTCTCCTCCCCCATCCCCCCCACCCCCAATGTCACTACCATCTCTCTCCTCTCCCCCATGTCCTCTCCAAGCATCTTTCTCGACTGCCTCCTGACCTTCATCCCGTCTCCCATGCTCTGACTTGAAAAACATTCGCGACTGACCATTTCCGAAAGGACGCTCTAAATACTTACACGGCCGGTATCGTTTCGCGACGCTACTGTGCTGTTCTCTACTCTTGCGCGTATGATGTGCAGCGATATCCGTTCAGGAGCCACCGTTCCAATGTCGAGTTATGCTGCTGGCCCACGACGAGGGGGCTTTCAAGGAGAGAGCTCGCGCAGCTTTTGACCAATTCCACGAATAGGCGTTTGTGTTTTTAATACGAAGCTAAATGGGTTCGTTCACGTGTGAGCCCCCTCTAGCCACAAGAGGCCGCTAAGTTCACTGTAATATTAAAAAAAAATACGTAAACACATTCCTGAATGGGAGGGGAGCATATATTTACCCCCACAGTGACCTACTTGTTCAGATTTTTTTTTTACATATTTGCCAGTGTTTACAGTGAGATGTATGGGAGCAGTGTCCTATGATTAGCAGATCATGAGGTCTGTGGTTCTGTAATCTGAAGCACAGGCAATAATAATCGAAGAAGACATTTTTTTGTGAATGGGCACACAGTAATGCTATTGGGGATGGGGCGTGGGGTTGGCGCTTAGCGTCACTGTGCAACGAACCCAGTGAGCAGAGTTCGATTCCCAGTCATGGTTAGTCACCATCTGAACCGGCGGGGTGAAATCTGAACCGGCGGGGTGACATCTGAACTGGTGGGGTGACATCTGAACCAGCGGGGTGACATCTGAACCCGTGAGGTGACATCTGAACCAGCGGGGTGACATTTGAACTTGTGGGGTGACATCTGAACCGGTGGGGTGACATCTGAACCAGCGGGGTTACATCTGAACTGGTGAGGTGACATCTGAACTGGCAGGGTGACATCTGAACTGACAGGGTGACATCTGAACTGGTGATGTGACATCTGAACCAGCGGGGTGACATCTGAACCAGCGGGGTGACATCTGAACTGGTGAGGTGACATCTGAACTGGCAGGGTGACATCTGAACTGGTGGGGTGACATCTGAACCGGTGGGGTGACATCTTAACTGGTGGGGTGACATCTTAACTGGTGGGGTGACATCTGAACCGGTGAGGTGACATCTGAACTGGCAGGGTGACATCTGAACCAGCGGGGTGACATCTGAGCCGGCAGGGTGACATCTGAACTGGTGGGGTGACATCTGAACCGGTAAGGTGACATCTGAACTGGCAGGGTGACATCTGAACCAGCGGAGTGACATCTGAACCGGTGAGGTGACATCTGAACCGGCGGAATGACATCTGAACCGGTGAGGTGACATCTGAACCAGCGGGGTGACATCTGAACCAGCGGGGTGACATCTCAACTGGCGGGGTGACATCTGAAATGGCGGGGTGACATCTGAACCAGCGGGGTGACATCTGAACCAGCGGGGTGACATCTCAACTGGCGGGGTGACATCTGAACTGGCGGGGTGACATCTGAACTGGCAGGGTGACATCTGAACCGGTAGAGTGACATCTGAACCGGTAGGGTGACATCTCAACTGGTGGGGTGACATCTGAACCAACGGGGTGACATCTGAACCAACGGGGTGACATCTGAACCGGTGAGGTGACATCTGAACTGGCAGGGTGACATCTGAACTGGTGGGGTGACATCTGAACCGGGACATCTCTTCTTCACCAACTCGTCACTGTACCAGCATGGTGGTGAAGTTTGGTCTCCTTGACTGACAGGCAGGGGGAGGGCCTTCATCCAGCAGTGGATTATTATCACGAATAAACTGGTGTCAATATAGATTTGTTGGAGCAGCTTGCTGCATGAGAAGCACTCGCAAACATCAACAGAGGTGTTAAACTCCACTTTAGTGTGCTATTAATCAATAACTCTGCGAGTCCAACATTCAATATAAACACTAAAGCTTTCACTGAGCCGTCCAAGGTCACGATACGAGTGAGATTAAGCCAACTATTTCCATGATTACAGACCCTGTGACCATTAATTTTGTGGAGGCAAAGTTGCTTTTACAAGACATCCTACGGTCTTCTAAAGCAATGCTGCTGAACTTACTTTTTGGTTTGTTATTCCACGACACTCAGTGTGCGAGCAGGCTCGATCTTCCCGGCACACCGTTTGCCCGACTGGCGCTTTCCACGACCGAGGGAGTTGAGAGGGGCCGGGGATGGGGGCTGACGGTTGTCTGCCGCCGCACAGCTCCGAGACCAATGGAGAGGGGGGTGCGTTCGGGGGGGCTGGATCGGGCCGCTGAACGACACGGTGGAGGAGAGCTCCTCTGCCCTCGCTTGCAAACGGCGAGGTTCATTCCTCTCCGTATAATTCCAAAATACCGCGGCACACTCGGGACTTTGCGTTGGCGACACGACGGTTTGTGAAGTACCACACCCAGTGGGTCTTCATGATGGGATTGTTTTCACTCGTTGTGTACTGTCGGGGGCCGCACATCAGAGGCCGCACTGCAGACCACCAGGGGCAGCCAGTGGCCCACGGGCCTTGCAATGAAGAACACTGCACTAGCTTAAAGAAGCTATTCCGCAATGAAAATGTAAAAGGTAGAGGTGCTTTCTCACGACCACTGTGGGCAGAAGGGCCTCAACTAGAAGGAGCTCGAGAGAGGCCCCTCTAGTGAGTATTTGGCTGCAACGGATATTTTGGAGGGGGTGGGATTCCCCACACTTTACTCAACCGCATGAAACCTGCCGATCGACTAACTGTGGATTAACCTTTCATTCCGCTGGGTCGACAGGGGCGGTGGCGCGGGGGAATTTAAGAAACTTGCACCAATGTTCTTTGGTTCTTTCGGTAAAGTCACGTAGAAAAATAATAATAGATAACGACGTTTCGATCGCCACAGTGGCGATCGAAACGTCGTGATCTATTATTATTTTATACCTACGTGACTTTACCGAAAGAACCAAAGAGTATGGATTTCTGCAGTCACATAAGCTTCAAGATTGCACCAATGTTTCAACTGCCACATTGGGGATTGAACCGGTCACCGCTGGATTGAACCGGCGACCGGTGGATTGAGCTGCGACCGGTGGATTGAACCGGCAAACTCTGGATTGAACCAGTGACCACGGGATTGCAAGTCCAGTATCCCCAGTACTACACCGTGGCAGGATACCGATTAATATTGAATAATCAATGTATTTTTGTAAATGTAAAGAGGAATCTTAAATTGGCAAATGACTGGTCAAGACTTGTTGTGGGTCTCAATTAGATAAATCCATCTACATAAAAAAAAATCACTTTAATTTCCAGTTTTTTCCATTGCAGATAACCCGTTGCAAAACACATGGCAATTCTGTGGAGAGGCCGCGTCAAGTTCTAAAGACGTCGATTGTTTAGCTTTTGGACTGGTGCTCTTGACAGGCGCTATCTACGAGATAAGTCCTATCCTGTGTTGGCACTACTCTTAGAGCGGCTGACTCACAATAAGAAGGTTATGAGTGTGTTTCCTGACTGGATCGGCGGCTCATTATCGCTCCGAGTTTGCTAAACCCTTAACGTCCTTGACATGGACAGAACTGGCCCCGGCCATGGGAATGTATAATGCACTCCGCCGACACGGGACCCACCCAAGAAAGGGGAGAGGCCTGTCGATTTACTGCTCGAGTTTGAGCGCAGAGACGATTTTTTTAATCATTTTTTAGCTTAAAATAACTCGGACATAAAAATGGTACACAGTGCAATGTTGCGTATCCAACTCTGTTGGGAATTGAGGTACGGGCGGAAATGTAAAAAGGTCCGATATGTGAACAGTTACCCTGCACTTGGTGTGGGGAGTCCATTGGTCAGGGCGGATATGCGACGGGCGGATGTGTGACATTCTGCCATGTGCAACATTGTTACTTTTATCCCTATGATAATTATCATGAATATAATAATTCCATGGTAATCCACAACCCTTCGTCAATCTGCTGCTAGATGAAGGCCTCCCAACACGGTGCCAGTCGTGGAGGTTGTCTGGCCATACTTTGCCACCCTGGTCAATCGAGATTGGTGAAGGTAGTGAGCGGGAGCAGTGGGTTGCAGGACCAGTTCAGACAGTTCAGGGCGCCACGGTGGCGAGATGTTAACTACCTCGCCTGGTATACAGGAGGTCGTGGGTTCGATCCCGACCCTGACGCCTGCTGTATATTTGGAGTTTGCATGTTCTCTCTCTTTCCCTGTGGTCTCTTTCCCTGTGGTCAGGGAAAGAGAGAGGTGGTCCTCCGGTTTTTCCCTCCACATTTAGAAAGATGCTTTTCTAGTATTTGGCTGCTATAAATGTCCACATTATAAACCATTTTACACAGCTATCATATGTGACCAGGCCGCTTCTGAAAAAGAGCTATATAGCTCAGTGGGCCTTACCTGGTAAAAAAAAAAACAAGTTAAATAGTCAAGCACTACAAACGATAGCCATGGTCAGGAATCAAACTCAGGTTGCCAGATTCACGGCGCAGGACACACACCATTGTGCTACAGCTTTTTTTTTGCTTTTTTTTCCTCTATAACATTTAAAACGTTCCATGAGAAGCAGTGCTGTCGTCCGCATTGTGAGGGTCACTTCATCGCGATTTGCTGCGTAATAAATACCACTCTCGCTCCGAGCGTGTCATTGCACTAATCCAGGGGTCATGAGAATTGTTTCATCAACCCAAGGGACGTACAACCAAGAAAGCCTGGGAAAAAAAGACTGCCTAAACTCACGTTTTTGCATGTGGTGCAAAGATACAGAAGGCGATTCTCAGAACAAATGGACACGTTCTACAGCACAGTATTTCCCTAAGATTTGTTATTTGAATGCATTGAAATGCTTTTCATTTGCAGATTAGTAAACGGATAACTAATCCGATTTAACACAAAGTTGGGACTGGCAAAGCACAGAGGATGCTGCTGCTGTGGTTATAATGGTCAGGGCACTGGACCTGCAATCCAGAGGTTGCCAGTTCCATCGCATCTCTCGGTACGGAAGTGGAAGCAATAGACACGTTCCTAAAATCCACGCGTTACCTATCCATGCAGCGGAAAACAGAGGTACACCACAGTCAGACTTCAACCAATAACTCTTCCACGGTAGGCAGATGGCTTGGAAGAGGTGACAGTACGCACACTTTACCCCACTACACGCGAATCTGCCTTTGACTAAACTGGGTTCTCAAGTGGTCGTGAATCAATGGTCTCAACCTGCAAAAAAGCCCAACCACGTTAATTTAATATTTGTAGTATCAAGGAGGGTTAGGAAATTGCTGCCCCTACTGGATGGACCAGGGGTCACTTGATGGTCACTTAGTGGGGTCTCCTAGGTTACATGATGGGATCTCAAACGTAGTTCTGCAAAAGCCACTTCTACGAGCCGTTCTCTAACATTAGATGGTTGCACTGCTGTGCAAGCATCCTCATGACATGCCGATAGCACAACTGGGGAAAAATTGGGAATTTTTTTTATATATAAAAGGTGATACGAGTACTATTAAGCCATGGCATCTGCAATCATGGATTACAATTGTAACTTGCACAGTTTTTGTTCACTCGGACAGAGATAAGACAGATTTGGAAGCACAGTAAATCACAAACAGCCTCTAGAACCAGTGTCAACAATTGTCGAAGCTCTGTGGTCCTACAATGGGATCTTTGGCCAATTCTATTTATGAGCGTTTCATGCTGAACCTAAGTAAACTTTTTTTTATTTTACCAGGTGGAGCCCACTGAGCTGTATAGCTCTTTGTCAGAAGCGACCCAGCCACAAATGATAGCTCAAACTTAGCGGCGTATCACGTGCACATCTATAGCAGCCCAAATACTCTAAACGCGCGATGTTGATTCTTAATGTGGAGGGAAAAACCGGAGGACCCGGAGAAAATTCCACGCGACCACAGGGAGAAAGAGAGACTCACACGCAAACTCCAAATATACAGCAGGCGTCAGGGTCGGGATTGAACCCACGACCTCCTGCATACCAGGCGAGGTAGTTAACATCTCCTAGACACCGTGATGATGATGAGAGAGAGAGAGACTCGCAAACTCCAAATATACAGCAGGCGTCAGGGTCGGGATCGAACCCACGACCTCCTGTACACCAGGCGAGGTAGTTAACATCTCGCCACAGTGGTGCCCCTTACCGAGTGGGCCCTGTGTCCTCGCCGCCTGCGTTACCTCCAGAGCAGAAGGAAGCCCAGAATGAGCACGATGAAGATGACGCTGATGGCAAAGAGCGCAATAATCGTGGCGTGATTCTCCTCCCGCTCTGTGAAATAAAACGAAACGAAGTCACTTGCGTCTTGTCGTGACGAATGATTATTGTGCGAGGATAGCGCTTGACGTTTTTGTTTTGTTTGTTTGTTTATTAAATGTAAAAAAAAAACAATGCTTGCAGGTTTCTTAAAACCACTCCCCCCACCACCCCACTGCCCCCACCGCCACCTCTGCCCACCCAGCAGTGGAGATGAGTACGTCACAGTCGCTCGGCAGATCCGCGTGTGGGTGGGGTAAAGTGTGTTCGTGCTCCCACCGCTTCCAAGGCGTCTGGCCAGCGCGTGTAAGAAGCAGGCCAAAAAAATGCCCTCTCAGAGGGGCTCTCGTCCAGAGCTTCCTCCAGCAGAGGCCACTTCCACCGGCAGTGGCGTGAGCAAGCGATTGCAGGGTTGCACCTTTATATTTGGACGCATTGGCGGTACACCGGTGCAGCATAACACACCAGCCCTCATGAAAGAGTCTGAAATCTAAAATTTGAACGGAGATTCGTCTTCCGACTGCTTCAAGAAACTGATTTTGACGCACCACCACCCACCCTGCAAGATTTTCTGACCGAGGGTTGCGAATCGTGGGAAAATAAATTATCGTGAAAAATGTGCTTTTTTTTGTTATGCCGCTCACTGGTATACCGCCAATATGTTAATTCGCTCATTAATTCAATCTAGATTTGAAGTTTTCGTGACTGCAGAGCACGCTTATTAATTGTGAAGCAAGTACTCTGCAACCAGTGCCAAACAAGTGAGTAAACATAGCTTTTTTAAAATTACCTCCATTCTGTGTTTAAATCATTATTATTACGATTTATGATTTCTCACGCAATATTTCACCATTACACATCGCTGCGTATCGCTTCGATGGCCACACGTGCGGCTGTACCTGGGATATCGGTCGGGAGGGTGAAGCTTAGGTTGGAGACTTCTCTGAACGTGTTTTTCCACGTGTCGTACTGCCACACCACGTGGAACTGCGCGCAAAGTAAAACACATTTAGTTGTAAGCGTGTTGCGATCACAATCAATCGACGTGTTCATTTGTTACACGGAAAGTCCCATTTGTGCCAGTCACCCAGCTGGTTTGCAAGGGAGATCCGTGGTGCCATCAGCACATGACAATAACGACAACGTCAGGGTGATCTATAGGGAGGAACAGAAAACGTCCGAAACGGGGAGGTACAGGGAAATAAATAATGGCTTTATAATTGCATCATTAAACAAATTAAATCGCATATTACAAAAAAAAGAACAATACTTTTTTGGCAAGATATTAACGAAACTGTACGTATGTATTTTCAGCTTCTTTTGCACCGTGCAAAATTATGATTTCATTAAATGCCCCCTCTTAGATTGTACGGTCGCAGCAGCAAAACGTGGCGAGCGCGGTGAAGCAACGGTGACAAAGGCGCAGCCCTGCAATTTCCCCCCCCCCTCTCTCCTCCCCCGTGTCACCGACGGCGGAAGGCCCTCCACTCGAGGAGCTCGAGTGGAGGGTATTTGAGCAACTCTTGCACGCTGCGCAGACTTTCTTTGAAGAGGTGGGAGCACCCACACTTTGCCCCACCGCACGTGACCTGTGCCCATCTGTACACCAACATCGCAGTCTAGCCATTAATTTATCTATGCTGCTGCTGATTGGACGTTGGCAACTTTCTTAAAACCACTACAACCCCCCCTCCCTGCCCCCCCCCCCCCCGTCCACGGGATAATAATTTACAACCTCTGGCCAATCCACTGCTGGATGAACCCGTCCCCCCCCTCTACGCTGTTGTCAGTCAAGAGGCTGACTGGCCATTCTTCACCACGCTGGTCAACGCAGGGTGATGTAAGGGTGGAGGGTGATGGTGAGCCGCACCAGTTCAGACATCACTAGCCACTCAAGTTAGCCGTTGCTGCGAACTGAACTCGGGACCGGGGTGGCTTTGTAGCGCAGCGCACTAACCGCTGCGCCACCGCTCCACCCAGGGAGCAGGCAAGGTTTTGCTTGAGGGTGACTTCCGCGTGAATTATTCTGGATGAATGGGGTGAATTGCCTTATTGTTGTGAAGATAGAGGACCTCCAGCTCCCCTTCGCTGTCACCATTCTCATCGATGTGCACCATCCTGTCCTTTCCTGCCCAACAGAATAGAGTAGCTCATTGTTACACCGGTGAAATACACAGTAAGCTGATGCACTGACGCCCTATGCCCTTTAAAAGTACACAGTTCACAATCGCAGGCTATTAATAATACAGTATTCCATCGTTATTCACGAACTTGTTATCCGCGATTTTGGCTGTCCGCGAATCGCATTTGGAATTCTACACGGCTGCCCTGAGCCACAGTGATGGACATTTGAAATTATTATTATTACTATACGGTACAGAGTTTTGAGGGCAGCCCCAAAGAGCCTGACCTATGTAGTTTTTCCCACGCATTGCTGTGGCGTCTGTGCTGGAGCAAGTGAAGGTGCCGTCTTGAAGACTTTTCTTCAAGAAATCTCCGTATATCAGCATCGTTTCGTAGTACGCCTCTGCAAACTTATTCACATGGGGTATCTGTGAAGCAAACAAAACAAAAGATATCCTGACGATGCTCGTGGTAATTACTGGCGACATGTCGCACTCGAATTGTAAACGTTGCGGGTTTACTCTCCGACACACCGGTGTGCTGTACCGGTAACGAACTGGCATTTTTTTTGTTTATGTGACAAACCTTGCTTGCTCTTTGGTTCTTTCGGTAAAGTCACGTGGGTAGAAAAATAATAGATCACGACGTTTCGATCGCAACACGAGCAATCGTCATCAGGTGGGACAACCACAGCAAGAAACAACTGCTGAAGTAGGCGAGAGATCTGCCGTGGCACGAGGTTATATAGTAGGCCTCGGCCGTAGGGGGGGGGAGAGAGAAGGGGTGGGGGAAGGAGGCGGGGCAGAAAGTGGACCCCGCAGCAGCACCCAGGTCACTCGAGCAAAGTGGGGCCACCTTACTTAATTGGATGCGTCGGGTGGTGGTGGGTTTAACGACACATTTATATTTACGCGATCGAACCCCCCCAAAAAAAACCTCTATTATGCAAAGCTAAATAATTTGGCTTCCACTCTCCTTTGTGCGTTTGTGTCATATCACTGTTCTTTGTGTTGAGTTTGTTCGCCTTCACCCGTACCTCCAATTAACACGGTTGGCTTGGAATTGTGCGAAAGAAGTTCAACGTACATACGTGTGCGATGTTTCCCTCCACGTGCTGGGAGCTTCTTCGGGAAATTAAGGAATCCCAACTGGAATCTCAAGTCACTGAAGAAGCTCCCAGCACGTGGAGGTAAACGTCAGACGTCATCCCGAACAACACGCGGTGCAACAACCGCGACAAACCTTCGCCGCAAATTATACCGTGGAGGTAATTCTAATTATTAATTTTCACTATTTATCTGCAATTTCATTCACTTGCGTGTCAACTTAAAAATTGCAGCGTCAGAATATGTAACTTGAAAGGTTGTCGGGTTTAACGTTCGTTGAGGACTGATAGGCATTGTTCAAAGCAACTACATTTAAAATAAAATAATAAAACTAAAAAAGCTATTTCACAAGTTCCCACTGAGAACGTTTTCTGAAAGTTGTGTATGTAAGTATAAAGTATAAAATTAAACTAAGCTTTTTTTATTTTACCAGGTAAGGCCCACTGAGCTGTATAGCTCTTTTTTCTGCAGCGACCTGGCTGCAAGTGATAGCTGAACGAAGTGGCTTATCATCACGTGGATATTTATAGCAGCCACGTACTCTAAACGCATGTTGATTCTAAATGCGGAGGGACAATCCGGAGGACCTGGATAAAAATCCACGGGACCACGGGGAGAGAGGCATGCAAACTTCAAAAATATACATCAGGATCGGGATCAAACCCACGGCCTCCTGTATACCAGGCGATGGAGTTTACATCTCGATTTCGCGGGGCGCCGTGATGGCGAGATGGGAGTATTTTTTATTCATTTAATCATCTCCATTATGTACATTATATACAAGCCGACATTATTGGCAAATGTCTGACGAGCAAGCTTGGATTACGGTCATTAAGGTCACCCACACCTTCAAATCGGATCGCACATATTTGAGCAGCTTGCTCGCCTCTCAGTTCACTGCCCTTTGATCCTTGGCTGCTGAGCAACCTGGCGCTGAAGGGCACTCTTCAATCGCGTGTTGGTCAAGCCCTGGGTCTCATTATGAAGATGGAGGAATATTGAGGTTGTGCTGCTGCCAGAGTAGAATCCAAGCCATGGTGTGTTTAAGGAAATATAATCATAATGATGCATGGAGGGTGGAGTAGTGGGAGAGTGGCGAGTAAAGGGTAAAGGCGCAGGCCTGCAACTGCTTATTAATGTCACCGCTGCCGGAATGGCCTCCACTAATGGGAGATCAACAGTTTCAAACTGCGGATCCCAGTTTTCAATACGTACGAGCGAAACAAAACTTAGACATCCATTCCTCATATTTGCGATAAAAAGTAGCGGGGTTTTTTTTGGGACCATTTTAAATCGTAAAAAAAATATATATTTGTTGCACTTTGAAGTCAATGGCAGTTCGCGGAATGTATGCTGTGTTGCTTTAACGTAGGGGGGAAACCTCTTCTTATTACTATTATTATTTATTTTCTGCAACAGCCTTATCTCCCGCACACATGTGCTTCAAAGAAGGCCGTGTCTGTGCAACGGCAGTCCGCCCACAATGAATAATCGTCCCAAAGAAACGAGCTACTACAGGCGGGTCACTCCTCCCAGACCCCCGCACTCCAAAATAACCACGGCTTTTCCCATGGGCCTCCTCGAAGCTTATGAATGTGTACTTTACTTTTATAAAAGCATTTTTTTTTTACTTTTACAATGCTTCCTCAACCCGCCAACCCTCCGCCCCCCCCCCCAAACCATACCAAAGCCATTCCCCTCACCAAGTCAAAGCAAGGTCGATGCCTAAGTGGGTACAGTAAAAGTCCTCACGCTTGTCAGATGATGTACGAGGGGCATCGAGGGCGGCGTTTCACAACGGCTTTGTGGAATCGACCGAGCAGCAGTGGAGGGACACTTGCGAATCGGGAGAATTCGCGCCGGCTATTAAAAATGCAATCGTGCTCGATTGGCGAAGTGCCCGAAACACGTTTGAAATGTTCGCTTGATGCCACCGAAGAGAGTTGAAATTCCCACGCCACTGCATTGATGCCCACAATTTTAAAGGGCGAATGCTGGATTAGTTGACTGCTTAACCGATGCATTTGATGTTATATATTGCACCAGAGGAGGAGTACAAGTCTCCACATACTAAGATCACGAGTTTAAATCTAGGTCGAGGTAAAACAAAAAACAAAAAACGCAAGCTGTAACCGTCCCAGGGGGAGCTGCGCGAAATGAGTTCCACATGCCCGAAAATCGGTGGATGGGAATCGTCGACAGTGGTGGTCTTACGGAAGTGACCCTCCTAAGTCTTTTGAACGTGAACTTTCCAGCGCTCGCTTGAGAAATGGCAGTGGATGCGAACACACACACGGCCAGCGCTCGAGTGTGGAGACCCCAAGCGGACGTAGCGATAACCTACGTCTTCCCCATGGTCTTTTAAAGGGGTACAGTGACATGGCCCTGCGGTGGTGCTTATCCCCGCAGCCCGCCCCCCTCCCCCCACTGATTATAACTCCGAGCGCAATGACCGTAAAAATACTACGCTCCGTCCGCTTCATTCGCAGCGGACGTTAAAGATTTCGTGACGCAAATTCGCAAGGTGCAGGCCATCGCGTGCCGGCGTCGCGTTTCCCAAAAGTTGACGACGGCAAAATAACTCCGCTAAATCACTCATCAGAATAAGTGTTCATGCTGGAGGAATCCGATGAGCTACGAAGCTCTTTTTCGGCAGATGTCCAGCACTCGCATAGGATGATGTTTAGGACCACAGGCCCATGCTGCGGAGAGAGAAAACAAAATTGGCAGAACCCTCCAGAAAGAGAGGCTTGAGGCTCGGGCAAGGCATTTCCAGGGTAGGCAAGCTTGGACAAACAATATAGGGAGAACGGTTCACTGCGGCCGGAGCTTCGACTTTTGATCGCGAGGCCACGAACTGAGAGAATCCCGCCCGACGTTGCGCTGCACCAGTTGCAGGCTTCACAATCAGAATATTTATCCACACCGTGCTGGAGGAATCCGATGAGCTACAAAATCTCTTTTCACAGACGTCCAGTCGGAGCGGGTGAGAACGTTACAGCTGGCAGCAGACAATGCAAGCACCATAGCAGTGCCAAGTACAATAAAAGGTAAACAAATCGCCCCAAAAAACGTGCAAATTAAACTAACCAGGCAAAGCCCACTGAGGCTTTCAGCAGTAGGCCGTAGCCAATCAATTACAGCCACTGTGTTTCTATTTGGATGTCACATGAGAGGGGGGGGGGGGGGGGGGAAACGAGCCTCATCCCATGCGGTGGGGCTCCAGAAGGAAGAGGATGGGGGTGGGGGGGTGCCCGGGGGGGGGGGGGGGCAGGGACCGGGGGGGAGGGGGCATGGCACGCTCTGGATGTCGGAGTCTTTATCGCCGGAGCTCTTGGCGCCGTCTCGCCAGCGCGGACGTGCACACAGGAAGGTGACGCGCGTGCACGCAGTGGGGGGGGGGGGGGGGGGGGGGCTCGTCCTTGTGCCACTACTAAGTCGCGTGTAAGAACTTTTTGGGGTTTTTTATTGTAGAAATTCATCCGACCGTCGATATTTCAACAAAGCCTTTCGTGGTGCTGCCGCCGCTGCAGCCGCTGCAGCCGCTGCTGACAAAACGCACGGCAGTGTTTTGTCAGTTTTGTTGTTGTTGTTGTATGTTGTGCAGGCCTGGACATTGCTTCAAGCTAATTTGGATCGCTCGCAGTCCTTCCACGCGCGATCCAAAAGACGCCTTCTGGGGCATCCGATGGTTCGACTCTTGTCAGGGATGTCACCGTCGCGTCTGCGACCGGTCTCCAGGCGATCGAGGGCTCAGTTCGAGAGGGAGACGGCCGTCGGCTTTGTGGACGCGTCGCGCCGGGCCCCACGGGCCGTTCGAAGTGGACTGCGACCCTCGAAGGAATGGCGCCATCCCCCGTGGTCGGCCCCCGTCGTGATCCGTGGACCGAGGAGGTCACTCGAAACGCCGGTGTATGGCAGCAAAGAGCGGTTCACGCGAACGCTATCGCCAGAGGTCACACATTTTGGTGCAACGGTCAGTTCGCTGTCTGTGCGCGATGAATGCATTCTGCTGCTTCGCCACCATTAAAGCACAAGGACAAAAATAAAATCATAATTCAGCGTTCGTTAATAACGCTGTGTAGCCCTTGAAAGGTAACAAATATGTATAACGGGCAACGTTTTGGGCAATAACCCTTTTTCAGTAGGTGTCTCTCGTGGGTGATCATCACACAACCAACCAATCACTTGCTGCTGGTGGTTGGCCCATGACTCCCCCCCACTCAGTATGGAAGAAAGTTTGGTCCCACCAGCGAATATTTGTCCTGGTCAGACAGAGTTACTTGTGTAATGACGACTTGACACACTTCTCTTGAGATGGCGATTTACTGAAGACACGTTCGCTTGACATGAGGAGGAGACCCCCACTGCAACAGTCCCGAATCTCCTTCACATGTCTCCCTTAAATACCAACACGAGGCCACACCCCCCTTCTCGATCATTCTCGCTGACTCTGGACGCTCGCTCCACCGGCAGACTCCACCGTCACCTGACCAAGCTCCCGTCTCGAACATTCCCGTAGCCACCAGTCCCTTCGCACTCACAACTGACTCCCCTGCTATTACCTCCCGTGGCCACTAGTGCATTCGCACTGTAGGCTGACTCCCCTGTCATTACCTCCCGTGGCCACTAGTCCCCTCACACCGCATTCAGGTGCTATTATCATTACACTTGGATATACGTACTTCTGTACCGTCACAGGACGCTCCTGAAATCGAGCAGCGTTCTTCATTGCAAGGCCCCGCGGGCCACTGGCGGCCCCCTGGTGACGTGCGGCGCCCCGACAATGCACAGAGAGTGAATACACTCCCCATCATCATCATCATCATCGTGCTGCAGTCAAACCCCCAATGGTTTCAAATGTGTGGCAGCCCTCAGAACTATGATGTCTTGTCGGCAAAAAGTGGCCCCCCTCTGAAAATTTCTGAAGAACACTTGAATAGAGCCGTACAGCTTATTTGGCCCTTCCTGCTGAAATACATACAATCTTAAAACTTAAAATCGTACAGGAATATGAAGGGGTATAAATATTAAGAAGGGCGGGGGACCAATATTCCCAAAAGGGGGGTGGGGAGGGGGCAATGAATATTAGTTCCTGGGGAAAACAAATGTTTGGGTAGAATGTCAATTCTCTGACACTGGGCTGAATAAGTGCTCACGGATATTGCTTGCCCCAACAGAGTCTGTTGGTGATGGGGCAGTTGTGGAGAGAGTGGAGAGTTTCCCATACCTGGGCAGTGTGCTCATGACCAGCTCCGGTTTGACAGCAGAGGTCTCACTCCGAATCAGTCGAGCGGCATTATCCTTTCATCGGTTGCGTAACGCTGTGTGGAAGCTACCTGGTCTGTCGCTCCACACGAAGTTTCAGGTCTTCTCGACCACGGTTATTACCTCCCTTCTCTACGCTTGCGAAACGTGGACCCCCCTAATAGAACATCTTTGCTGGTTAGAAACATATAGGCTGGCCTGCTTACGATCCATCCTGGGTTTAACCAGGCTGGATTGTGTGAGGAGCTCCCAAATCCTTGAAAGATCTGGACAAGGTCCCATCGGTGAGCTCATTCGGCAGGCAAGGCTCCTTTGGCTGGATCATGTGGCCCGCATGCCCAGTCAACGCATGCCAAAACAGATTTTGTTCGGCCGGATAGAGGGGCCTAATCGGGCATGGCACGGGTTTGGATTAGAGATGGAGTGATGTGATACAAGAGGACGTGGAGCTGCAGGACTTGCCAATGACTGGTACCAGCGGTGTCAAGATCTGCCTCTGTGGAGGAGGCTCGTGAAGGACGCTGCTATTGGGCAGTTGGAGGCAGTCATCCTCCAGCAACAACGGAGGGCGGCGGAGCGATGCTCACAACAACGAGCGGAGTGCCGGGCGGCTAAAACACAGCAAGTTGGCACAGTAGGGGGCACAGGTGGTGCATCGGCCAGTCATCTCAGTCATCTCAGTCAGTCGACCCATGGAACCTGGGTCTGCCCCGTGACCTCCTGCCGGCGAGCGTTCGACACCTCACGTTGCCTTAAAGTGCACATAGCCTGGCACAAGCACCGTGGTGATATCACCGCCACTTAATGGTGATTGCCGATTGTTGTGTTGCGTGTGATTAAAAGATAATGGGGAGCGATAGTATAGCGGTTAGCGCGCTGCGCTATGAACCTGGCGACGCAGGTTCAATTCCCGCTCACGGTCAACACCGGTGACAACTATCTGAACCGGTCCTGGGCCTCCCTAAGGTTGACTCAGCCTCAAATGAGTAACTGGTGCGATGTGTAAACATCGTCACTGGGGAGACAAAGGCGGCTGGGCGTGGTGCTGGCCACCCACCCCTTTGTGTGCCGCGCCAGCCTTCATAGGTGCCCGCTAACAGCACTTGCCCCAACAGCCTGTGAAGGTTAGTGATGAAACAAACCTTGGCATTGCTGGCGTTTATGTGTTGCTCTGCAACGGGCAGAGTGACGTTGAGCGTAGGCAGAGTCACCATCAGCACGGTCCCTCTAATCGTGTAATTCTGCTCAGCGGCGACATGACCTCCACTAAAGACGAGATGACAGATGGGCAAACACATATCACTTTTACGTAACAATATTCCACTGTAAAGCCATGTGGGCCATTATTTTCAGGATAAGTAAAAACAGCACAGTGTACAGGGTGGTCCAGATGGCTTGTGACCCACAATTAATTGACCTCTGACATTTTTTCCTTGGCATATTCATTTCTGTTTTAAATAAACCTTACCTAAAAATATATTAATTTTTACAGAATAAAATGGGGGTCACAAGATATCTGAACTACTGAATAAAGGTGTCAGTTTTTGTGCCAGTTAAAAGGGTAAAACCTATTACTATATCTTGTTACTGGCAAAGGAGGTCTCATAATGTAAATGATCACCCCGAGCCCTCAATACTCTGATAGTGCACTGTTTTTGAGTTGTACGCCTTTTGGCGTCTTCTGGTCCAACACCAGTGGAGACTAGGCTCTAAGAAAAGCTGTCTCGGGTGTGGACCAATCAAATTCAAGGACAGTGCATATTATTATCAGAGTTGTCTCTTTTGTTTGCATTTTGACTGCTTGTGTTGTGGTTATCGCAAACATGATGCCTTGAATAAAAGTGTCAGTTTTTGTGCCAGTTAAAAGGGTAAAACCTATTACTATACACATCCAGTCTTGTGTACCAATTTTGATCGCTGAGCTAGCAGTGTTTGTATCTCAGTTAAGGTAAAAGGTAATTTTCTATCTTACGCTCCTGCATGCAGAGGCGCCTCCAATAGCCTGAGCTCTAGAGGGACCTTCTAGACGGTGTTTGGCCTACTCTTCCGCGTTGGCTATATGTTTGGTGAAGAACTCAGAGTACCCACACTTTACCCCACCACACGGAACCTGCCCGTCGACGAACTGTGGTTTTATACTACAGGGGGGGGGGGGGGGGGGATTTAAGAAATTTGAAGAATTGTTTTAACTGCCGCGCCGGCAGATGGAATCTAACCGGTGACCTCTGGATTGCAAGTTCAGTGTGATAACAGCCATGACACCATTTGTTTTTGTATCTAAAGGGAGTCTGAAACAGTCTTATAGGATTGGTACAGAGTTGACAAAAGAGTTATCATCCGGTGGACATCAGTGTGAGCTAGGTGAATGAAATTACGGCACACACACACAGGCACACACTGGGTCGCGTGAAGATGTGACCGCACGAGTGTCACTCCATGTATCTGCGTTGGTGACGTGTGTCGCAACGAGATGTGCGAGAGTCCCAGGCGAAGGGGGCCACGGTGGCGAGATGTTAACTCTCTCGCCTAGTATACAGGACGTCGTGAGTTTGATCCTGATCCCAACACCCTATATATTTGGAGTTTGCATGTTCTCCCTGTGGTCGTGTGGATTTTTCTCTGGGCTCTCCGGTTTTTCCCTCCGCATTTATAAACATGTGTTTAGAGTATTTGGCTGCGATTAATTTACACGTGATAAGCCACTTCATTGAGCTATAATTTGTGGCCAGGTCGCTTCTGAAAAAGAACTAGAAGCTCAGTGGGCTTTACTTGGTAAAATAAAAAAATATTTTAGTATAACAAAAATAGTTTTTAGTTTATAATAGGGTCATTTAACAGGAGATGAAAACTTTGTGGACGCAACGCGTAATTGGTTTGAATTCATTCCAATTATAACGTCCGATAAGCATGGCTGGCGATGGACGGTGAAAAAGAAGTTCAACATACATAGATACAATAGCGGTAATAATTTGCGCCATTCGTATAGCATGGGGCTATCCCGATGGTGCTACGTTGCATAAATGACAAGAGTCCAATCATATTATCTTTTAATAGGATTTCTGCGTAAGAATTCTCAACACTTGCAAAATAAATCTACGTACATAGACTGCACAATGAGCTTGAAACAAAACCAAAAACCTCACAACAACATAACGGCACGGAGGCGCCGTGGCCTAGCGGGACCGTCCTCGCCGTTTGTTGCAGAGTTTAACGGTTCAAATCCGGCGGCTGTCCTCGTTAATACCGCGAGGGTATCAGCCAAAAGAAATATACGCGCCATCTGCTTTACAGTGCACGTTGAAGATTCCGTGGCGTCATTTGCAGGAGTGGGGCCATTGTGTGCTTGGAGTCACGGTTCCAGATTTGCCAAATTAAATAAAAAGAATGACACCGGCGACTGCCCGAAAACATAGCAGCGGTCATTGCCCGCTAACTGCAAAAACTCAGCAGGAAACCTCCTGAAAACGAGTCATGAGGCTCAGTGAGGCTTTCCTGGATAAACAAGCGTAGCAGTAATAGTAATGATAAGTATATAACGTTGAGTTAATGCTTTCGTGACCGCAGGAATTCATATTCTTTTGGGTCTTTCGGTAGAGTCACGTAGATAGGTTCCAAGAAAATAACAGAAAACTACGACGTTTCGATCGCAACACCAGCGGTCGTCATCACCGCTTGTGTTGCGATCGAAACGTCGTGGGTTTTCTGTTATTTTCTTGGAACCTATCTACGTGACTTTACCGAAAGACCCAAAGAATATATAACATTGTTACGCAATGCTGTTCAGCAAATGGTGCAACTCTGACCAGAGCACATTGCGCACTTTCAGACGCGCTTCTGCGGCGGTCTGGAACGCTCTTCCTTCCGATGTTAGGAAGCCACTGGAGCTATGCACTTTTAAATACAGATTGAAAACGAATTACTCTAGAACTAATTTTTGTGTTTAGTTTCCCGTGCTTCACCCCCCCCACCCCGCACCTCTGATTATCACGGTTGGCTATGCACGGTGCGAAAGAAGTTCAACGTACAAACATACTTACCCAAATAGATCCAGAGCCACAAAGACGAGCTCCTGGAAGATGTTTTTGACAGACTTCTCCAGCGAGCTGGTCACATTATAGATATGCGGGGCGTCCCCACAGAATATCACCACTGGGCATGAACAAAAAACTGTGATCATCACCATCGTCGTCATCATTTCCCCCACAGAATATCACCGCTCCGCCCATCCAGTACAGATTGAGACACGAGAACAAAAGGTGGAATTTGAGTTAATGGACCACCACGGTCGCGAGATGTTACCAAAAGATTCTGGTATACAGGAGGTCGTGGGTTCGGTCCCGGCCCTGACGCCTGCTGTATATTTGGGGTTTGCTTGTCTCTCTCCCCGTGGCTGCGTGGCCCTTTGGGTTTTCCCTCCACATTTAGAGTCAACGTGCATTTAGAGTGTTTGTCTACCGCTTTACATTTCCACATGACAAGTCGATTCGTGTAGCTTTCATTTGTGGCCAGGTCGCTTCTGCAAAAAAAGAGCTGAGTTGTTGACCTGACTGGTTGTGTATCACATATATTTTTTCCTTAGGTGTGTTGAATTCTCGTCTCTCATCTTCTTGTTGTATTTACCTCCATGATTTGTTTCTTACGCCTGATGAAGATCGCTTGTGTTGCGGTCGAAACGTCGTGATTGATTTGTTTTAATATAATGTTATGGTATTCCTACATACGTGACTTACCGAAAAAAACAATGAGTAATTTATGCAGTCACGAAAGCTTTAATTCTGTATTAGCTGAATAGCTCTCTGGGTCTTACCTGGTAAGACCACGGGGAGAGAGACATGCAAACTCCTGATAAGAACAACACAACTAATTTCATCGCTCCATTACTCATGTAGACCCACCGAGCTCAGTAAGGAAGTGACTGCAGATAAAAATGTGATGCGGATCAAAACCAAGACGGTGTACACAACAGACAAAACAAATGTGAATAAACAAAACCGTTACATCAGAGCGGAGATCCGGGATATCCAGGAGTCATTGCATTCATTATAATTATATTGGCCAAATATTACAGGTTCATCTGCCACGATCAATCCACACCGCTTGATGAAGGCCACCCACAAGCCATCGCCACCTCTCACACGTTTGCGACGCAACCCTGTAGCGAGCACCTGCACATGAACTGATTTCATCGCTCCATCTCCTGCGTGGATATCCCCTAAAGGACGCCATGCGAATAATAGGAGCTATTTCTGCAGGACAGACAGCGCCCTCCACATCACCACGTGATGACAGACGTTGCATTGTAATGTCCACGCCCAACTAATATACGATTTGGACTTACCATTGCTCTCTCTCATCATTAAAGCATTGGACAGTTTGTCCAGTGTCGGCACCTCAATCAGCTGGTTATCCAACTCGGTCTTCGTAGAGTTAAACATCTTGTTTCTACTTGCCACCTTGATGTTTTCCAACAAGGCCTGAATGTACCTGCACATCAAATGATAGGAGCGAGAGGGAGAAGAGAGAGAATCAATCACATTTAGCGATTTTAGTCGGGATTGTGTACAAGACTATACACAGCACATTAGGGATGAGTTTCAGATTTGATTGTTTTCGTTCGATACCAATTAAAAAGTCTTGGTGACAACCATTGGGATGTCACCCATTGCCACGTGACAGCACCTTCGGCAGGAAAAGCGTGGAAGTGACATCCCGTGAGCGACTTCGCCTGTTGGCCGCCGCGGTGGTGAGATGTTAACTACCTCGCCTGGTATACAGGAGGTCGTGGGTTAAATTCCCGACCGCGACGCCTGTATATTTTGAGTTTGCGTGTTCTCCCTATGCTTACGTGGATTTTTCTCTGGGTCCTCCGGGTTTTTCCCTCTACACTAAGAATCATGCGTTTAGGCTGCTATGAATTTGCACGTGATAAGCCACCTCGTTGAGCTATCATTTGTGGCCCAGGTCGTTTCTGAAAAAAAACAGCTATATAGCTCAGTGGGCATTACCTGTTAAAATAAAAATTAGTTGGGTTAAATTTTTAGTTTCCGGTTTTTGGATCAATCGAAGAAAAACATCGAATCGTCTGAAATCTCACGTCTTGGCCAGATGTTCGTATTTTTCTGACTAATCTGAAAATCGGGAGCACATCCGTCGAACTGATTTTTGCCTACATCAGTTTGGCGGCAAGCTCTGCCGTAGCAAAATATACATCTCAATAAAATGTTCTTCATGCACGTTTGCGACGCATGCTATAAGCCAACAATAAACACACCGGTTTCATTCCCACCAGAACTCAAGACGAGGCCACGTACAGTCATGCCACTGGGGCCATGGTCAACATATTTAATTTTTAAAAACGCGGTATTGATTCGCAGTTACATGATGCATATTATTTTCATGAACAACAGCAATAAATTATATGACCAAATGTTTACGATCAAATACTATAAACACGGCTGTAAATTGAGGCTGCACTCAGTAAGCAATACAGGGTGCTTAAAAAAAAATGTTAACACTTAGGAGGATGTGCAACACTACCACAAGAAATGCGCCACCTCCGGGCTCTGGAGACCACCTGGAGAAGATTCCAGGCCACGTGTTGACCACGATGGCGAACAAGTGGAGACTCTTTGACTTGTTTAAGCTATTAACATGACATTTTGTGATCATGTTACGGTATATTATCCGCTCTTTTTCTATTAAAAACGATAGTCCATTATAAGTGTTAAACATTTTTTAAGCACCCTGTATTATAGCCTAATAAAATTGGTAATTAACATAGCAATCCCACAATGAGCAAGTTAACTGAGTGTTAATTAGTGACTTTACCTCGGTGTAGAGTTCCATCTAGAGATCTCCCAGAAGGTAGTTGTGGATGTGTAAAAGTAGTGGATGTGGTGGATGTGTAAAAAGAGATTGAATTTGATTTATGTGGTGGGACAGACAGAGGAGAGTCAACTGTCCCATAATACAGGTTTTTTATCACTGGCGAAACGTCGTACTCAGATTGTAAATGTTGTGGATTTGCTCTCCAACACACCGGTGTGCTGTACTAGTAACGAATTGGCATGTTCTTGTTACGTGACAAACCTTACTAATGGACTAATTGGCTGTGTCGGGTGATGGCGGGTTTAACGACACATTTATATATTTACGCGATCTAACCCCAAAAAAACCTGTATTATGGATGAAATTGGTCGCGAAAGCCTACATGTTAAACTGGAGTCAACTGTGTCTGCTTATTTTGTACACGTGATCAACTTGACCACATGCACCTTCAGATGGATCTTGGAACCTATTATTGCATCCATGTTGATGCAATGGGCTGCCGACAATATAATGTTGCGGCTGAGTGAACGCTAAAACGTTTTATTGGGACATTAATTTTCAGTGGAAGATGTCAAAGTCCGGGCATTAATCGGCGGGGTACTGTATGTGGGAGCTACTGCTCTGTGAGTAGCAGCAAGTAAAATCACGGCTCCGTCGTGTGCCTCCACGTACGAATAAACGCATGGTTGACTCCGTCAGCCCGTTTGGCTGACTTCCCGAGCAACATTATCGAGCAGCATTTGTTTAAGTAAGTCAATAAATGCCGAACCAATTTCGTCCTTCTGGATCTCATCGACAGAGTTGGGCTCGATTTCCTGACGTTATTGGCAAGAGGACTCCATATAAAAATATGAGACCAACCACCCCCCCCCCCCCACCCCCCGTTCAACTTCAAAAAGCAATACAGACCGCACACAAACGTTATGGTAAGTGATGAACCAAAGACTTGATGATCATGCAGAGCCATAACAGTTCTGGAGATGTAAGAATGTCAAAGCACCCCGTGGGGTAGTAGGTGGTTGGCTCCAACTGCCACGCTGAACAGGGGAAGAACGAACAAACGACACGCAGAAAAAATGCCCTAGTCGGGAATGGAACCCATGGCCACCTTGCTGTGAAGAACCAGTCTTAGTTACCGCCCTGCTTAGCTCGTGCCCACACATTATGACCGAGATTGCCTTTGACGCAAACAAATCTGGCTTTTTCCAAATCCCACAATGAGTTAAAATTGGTCACAATGTCTGGGCATGCTTGAGATATTTAATGGTGGCGATGCAATCATACCTGTCAAACCCTTATCAGTGCCTAACTTATTACAAACCAATTCAGACCTTGTTGGTTACCGCGTGCCCCTTTTCAATCTCAACGTTCATCCTACAAATTCCCATCGCAAGGGAGAAACACAAACAAATAGACACAGCTTTGTTTGCCCGTATTGAAACGGCTGTGCGCCGTATGTACCTGATAACTAAATTTCCCTGTACAAGAATACGGGGTAAACCGTATGGGTTGACAGGTGTAGGATGCTGCACATGGCAAGGGTTATAGTGGGGTCAGTGGTTCTTTACAAAGGTATGCGAAATTCACCTACCTGCCCGGTGATTCCACGGAAGGCTGAAATTGGTTTCAAGAATCAATACCGTTTTTTTTTTACCTTGTGGTAAACATAGCGGCCACTCGTGGCTCCAGAGGTCACATGAACCCGTACGGCATAAAACACATCAGACCCACGTATCGCGAGCCTAAGAATCGATGATGCGATGCTCCAATTTACACACCCCTAATATTTAGCAAACACTTTCTTGGCTATTTCAATCGGAGGATCGACGTGGGGTAGACACGCTAATATTTGCACCCTTCGCCAAAGTTTAAAACTGCTTAAAACCTTGTTTAATAATAATCAAAACGTGGCATGGTACTGCACTGTACAACCTTTCACTAAATAAGTTGGGGTGGTAGTACGGCAATTAGTGCACCTGAGACTAATTCCAAAACACGACTCGAATCAATCTTGATTTGAAGCTTTCTTGACTGCAGGAATCCATACTCCTTGGTTCTTTCGGTAAAGTCACGTAGGGAGAAAAAATAATAATTGGTCACGACGTTTCGATCGCCACACAAGCAATCGTCTTCACCTGGAAGGAACCAAAGAGTATGACTAGAATCATTAGCTTGTCATATCTCGAGCAATCGGAAGGCCCCCTCCAACGTGGACTGACCAGCAGGATGAAGTATGGTCAAACAACCCCCATAACGGGCAGGGTATGGGGAGGCCTTCATCCAACAGTGGATTCACAAATAACTGTACTGTACGTTGAACTTCTTACGCACCGTACGTAGCCAACCGCGCCAATCGGAGGCGCGGCAGAAGAACACCAAACGAGACACAAAATATTGTTGTTATCCGTTGCAGCTTCAGTGGGCTATTATGCCTTTACTTTTACGGGGTCCTTAACTTTTACCACCTTCGTCTGTTTACCTCTCGAGTGCGTGAATGGCCTGTGTTAGTGTCGCGTTTCCCTGTGTCGTTCAGAGGCAGCGGCCGGATTCATGCACGGGGCTTTAGGGGCTGTAGCCTTGGTGGGACTCGGATGTTCAGGGACCACCTAAAAAATAATATATACTGCTCTATAATGGCTACAACGCAAAGCTGTAGCACTCTGATACATCCCTTGAATGTGTGTCATTAAAAGCCATGGGATCACTGCACGCATTACTACCAGTTGCTTTTGGTCATTTTAAATTTGATTTAGTTTTACAATTCGTGACTCATTGAGTAGATCAAGGCACCATCGTATCCGATGGCGCTGGATGCCAACACCACACCTCCAGCACCACTACCACTGCCACCACCGCCACCACATCTCCAGCACCACATCTCCAGCACCACTGCCACCACCGCCACCACATCTCCAGCACCACTACGACCGCCACCACCGCCACCACCACACCTCCAGCACCACTACCACCAACACTGCCACCACCGCCACCACCAGCACCACACCTCTAGCACCACACCTACAGCACCGCTACGACTGCCACCACCGCCACCACCACACCTCCAGCACCACACCTCCACCGCCAGAACCACACCTCCAGCACCTCTACGACCGCCACCACCGCCACCACCACACCTCCAGCACCACACCTCCACCGCCAGAACCACACCTCCAGCACCGCTACGACCGCCACCACCGCCACCACCACCACCACCACACCGCATTGCGAACGCTTTCTTCCCTCCACCAGATCCTGCAGCCGCTGCACAGGAGCCGGGCAGCGACCTCCAGGATTCTGCCCCCCGACAGTTCGCATCCCACCGCCTGCTCTTATTTAGGCTTGCACAGAGACGCATAGACTCGGACTCACACAGAGACCCATACCTAGATATGCCCTAACTCTATCCCGCCGCCTGGCCTTAGGTCTTCCCCATGGTAGTCGGGCTCATGGAGGAGACCACCTCCGATTAGCACGGTTTGGCTACGTACGGCGCTGAAAGAAGCTCAACATACGCACGTACACCACAATGCCGTCTGGGTAACCGCTCCTCTCCCATCTTGCACACACATCCCAGCCATTGCAGTAGTCTCTTTGTGCCTTTATAATACCGCAAATACAACACTTAAATACGTACAGAAACAAAAACTGAAATAACCGAGGTAAATACTAATCGAGTGTTTGGCATTGGCTATGGGTGGTGGGTTAAACGGTAAAGGGCAAGGAATTATTGAATTTACAAATAGGCACCCCCAAAAACTATAACGGTGCCAGACCCCCATAAAAAACAAGGTTGTTATTGGGTGTGGGGGAGGTTGTGGGTTGTGGGGGGGCTGTGTTGTTGTTGTTGTTGATATTGTTGATGTTGTTGTTGTTGATGTTGTTGTTGATGTTGTTGATGTTGTTGTTGTTGATGTTGTTGTTGTTGTCTCACCACAAACACACGTCGTAGTTGTACGAGTTTCCCGACAGGACGTAGGCCGTGCTCCAAGCCACGGGCTTGCGGTGCGGCTGGACAAGTCTCCAGAAATCCACGAAGAAAGTCGAGACCTTGACGGCGCTGAGCAGGGTGCGCGTCAGCTCGGGCACGAAGGTCGTGGACAGGCCGAAGCTGCCCGCCGAAACGACCATCCTCTCGTAGCGCTTAATCACCCTGCGGAAGAGAAGGTGGCGGGTTTGAAGGTTAAAAAAAAAACACGTTGCAGCCCTCAAATTCACTCGATCACCCTTGAACTTAAACGAAACAAAATTAATTCCCCGGGTAAGCTCCACTGCGTTGTATAGCTTTTATTGTTTCTCAGAAGCGACCCGGCCACAAATGAATGCTCGGCGAAGTGGCTTATCGCGTGGAAATTCGTAGCGGCCAAATATACTAAAAAATCCATGTATGTGGGACTTCTTTCGCACCGAACAAAGCCAACCGTGCCAATCAGAGGCCTTGGAAGAGGTCAGAGGAACCCACACTTTTCCTCACTGCATGCGACCTCTGTCAATCGACGAACGGTGGTGGACAGACGGCGGTGGGTGGGGGTGGAGCGGGGTGGGGAGGTATTAAGGAACGTGCATCTGGTTTCCGCACCTCTTTCCCCCTTCCTTCCCCGAAGAAAAGGGATCTGACGTGCCACGTACCACATGACGCTACGGTCCTACGCGTCCGCATTGATTGTCTATCCGAGCCGCCTGTCTCGCTATGCACCACTCACCTTATGAGACCTTCTTTGTCAGTAGCAAAATATAGTAATAGGTTTTTACCCTTTCATCTGGCACCAAAACTGACACCTTTATACAAGGGATCATGTTTGCAATAACCACAACACAAGTAGTCAAAATGCAAACAAAAAGAGACAACTCTGATAATGATATGCACTGTCCTTGAAATTGATAAAAGGGTAAAACCCTATTACTATATCTTGCTACTGGCAAAGGAGGTCTCATAATGTAAATCCTCACCCAGAGCCCTCAATACTCTGATAGTGCGCTGTTTTTGAGTTGTACGCCTTTTGGCGTCTTCTGGTCCAACACCAGTGGAGACTAGGCTCTAAGAAAAGCCGTCTCGGTTTTGGACCAATCAATTTCAAGGACAGTGCATATCATTATCAGAGTTGTCTCTTTTTGTTTGCATTTTGACTACTTGTGTTGTGGTTATTGCAAACATGATGTCCTGTATAAAGGTGTCAGTTTTGGTGCCAGATAAAAGGGTAGAAACCTATTACTACACCACTCACTTGTCGCGGAAGTTGTACACCCCCCTCCCCCCCCCCCGTGGTTCGATCAATAAAAACATAATTTACAACAACAACAAAACGTGCACCATTGTCTCAGCTGCTATGCGGGGAAATTGAACTGGGAACTTCTGGGTGAAGCAAGTTCAGCATCATGACCGTTGCGCCACGGAAGCTTCCCCGACTTTGTGCTTAAGTGGTTGAAGAGATTCATGGCAGTTTTAGCACGGCTATTTTTCTTTTTTAACCGAGGACCGAAACCAAAAATCAAAACTCGGCGGCAGCTTATTGGAAGTGTTTAGCCGGGCAACGGTGGCTTATGCACGCCTGTAATGCGGCACTGCGGAAGCGATGGTTGGTGGATAGCACAAATGTTGCGAAACTCCCTTCCCGTGGGTGGCTATGTGCCGTGCCCTTAACCAGGAGAAGGTGGACTCCACTTGTCCTGTCTGTATAGGATAGCGCGTTTCTCCTTCACATGCATGTGGTTTCTCCGGGTGCTCCAGTTTCCTTCCACATTGTAAACACTCATTGTTTGCTGATAACATCTTCATATATATAGGGCCGCAGAGCTTGGGCAATTTCTGCCTCCCAGCTCACCGCATGTTTGTTGTTATAACTCTGTTGTTATAACTTTCTGACCCGCCTCTAATGGACATCTGTGAAGAAGAGCTTTGGAGCTCATCGGATTCCTGTAGGATAAATAAAGATTCGTATTCTGTATGGCCTCCTTCCCACTTGTCTGTGGTTCCACCTTGCGCCTCTGTGTCGTTCTCTGTCTATGAGAGCGAACGAATTCTGTGCGCTGCGTTACAAGTTCAAACGTCTTATTATTATTATTTACAAAGCTTGTTAATTTAATACAAAAAAAAGCCCATACCTGAGCAATGCGTAGGCTGCATACTGGCATGTTGGCCCAATGACTGCACACCCAAGTAAATTATTTTCCTGTGGGGAACGTTAAAAAGAAATACATTTAGAGATTCAAGTACATTGCAATAGGACAAACAGAGCCAACATCCGCGGCATATAGCATTTTACGTGTTTGGTTGCTTTCATGGCCTAGACACCAATGTGACAAGAGAGGCAAAAATATAAAGGGAACATGTAAAGTATGATCCCTTTAATACCTGTGCTTTATAGTTGTGTTAATATTGATCATCATGAACATGTGCTGAACGGTTTTCAAAATTCATTAAGCCCTTTCCATATCTCCCTTATCACCAAATTTTGCCAGCATATAAACAACGGGTCTATCTCGTGCTGCTGCTGGTGAAATGGCCTAGCCAATAACAAAGATGGTCACTGCATTGCACGCTTTCAGGTACGCTTCCGCGGCTGTTTGGAACGCTCTTCCTCATGACATTACGGAGCGACTGGAGCTATGCACGTTTAAATCATCGAGATTTAAAACTCATTTCTTTAGAACCTGCTTATTGTAAATTTTGATTTAAAGCTTTCGTGACTGCAGTGATTCATATTATTGGTTCTTTCGGTAAAGTCACGTGACTTTACCGAAAGAACCAAGAATATAACTGCTTATTGTGTTTAGTTTGTTGTCTTTCCCCCGCACCTCCGATTAGCACGGTTGGCTTTGTACGGTGCAGAAGAGGTCCAACAAACATTCAGAAGTTCAACATACTACCGCTACAGGGTGCGTGAGAGAGCTCGTCAAGATGGTGTCATAGCCTCTTCGTCCACGCTGCCCATACTTCTTGATAAAGGAGCGAGTACCCACAGTTTACCCAACCACGCAGTAACCTTCTACTCAACTAATGTGGTGTACCCATTGATACGTCTGGGTGGACAGAAGAGGGAGCTGGTAGGTGGCCATTTAATAAACTTGCTCAATGTTTCAACTGCCGAGCCGAGGGCACCGTGGTGGTGACATGTTAACGCCCTCGCCTGGACGCGGGTTCGATCCCAACCCTGACGCCTGCATTTTTGGAGTTTGCATGTTCTCCCCGTGGTCACGTGGATTTTTCTCCGGCTTTTTTTTTTACTCCCTCCGCATTCAGAAACATGTGCTTAGAGTATTTGACTGCTGTAAGTTCCCAAAAAGATAAGCCAATTTGTTGAGATATCATTTGTGGCCAGGTCGCTTTAAAAAAAATAGCTATATAGCTCAATGGGCCTTACCTTATGAATAAAATCATAGTTTTGATTGGACTGGCGACCTCTGGATTGCAAGTCCAGCGTACTATACAAGGGAGAATTCACACGAACAACATTTAATCTTCGTGTCTACTGCATGTTATCGCCTTCGAGGTGAAACATCCAGGAGGCAAAGGCCTTTGGGGTCCAAACCTCCACTCGGGGCCTCTGCTCAGGGGTCCTCTGGTCAAACCTGTCACGTCAAAACATTCCGTGAGAGCTCGCAAGAAGATTGAGAGGTCTCCACTGGAACCTTACACCTACACAGTTTGTCCACGTTATCCCACATCTACAAAACATATGTGCTCTATTTCACTCTGGTTTCTGCCCATGTGGAATTGCTCAAACTCCAAAAAGGAGAGATGCATAATTATAACATTATTTGTATTCATATTCAAGGTTTTTGCGTTAGATAGCGTCAATTTAAATGTGTCGTTAAACCCGCCACCACAGCCAATTAGTAAGGTTTGTCACGAAAACAAAACATGGCAATTCTTTCTTCTCCAACACACCGGTGTGCTGTACTAGTGAAGAATTGGCACGTTTTGTTTATATGACAAACCTTATTTATTGGCTGTTTCGGGTGGTGGCGGGTTTAACGACACATTTATAATTACGTAATCTAACCCTAACGCCTCTATTATGGATAATATTGATCGCGAAAGTCTACGTGTCAAACATTGCTCGTATTATTTCTGTAACACGAGACAAGGTTTCGTGTTGATGGTGAGTTCAGCTTTCATTTACTTTGCTTTTTCCACGCTATTATATTCCAAATACCATTTCGTTAAAATAGGCTTTCAGTAAATGTTTATATAATGGCATGTGTAGTGCCATTCATTTTTTGCACAGTTTGCAAGGTCACTGAGCACAGGACCAAAGGCCCCCCAAAAACACCAAGCAGTTAGGTACAAACAGCACCGATACCACTGGTCATAAATACGAGTTGACACATTTCTTGAATCGAGCAAAGTTATTATAGGGACAACGGAAAAGAGACGATGGAAGGGAAATCCAAAAGTGGAAAAAGAAGCAGAAGAAATGATAGCCAACCAACGATGAATAAAAAAAAGTTTGGTGTAAAGTGGTTACAATCGTGGCATTTCCATCAGCTGCTTCATTATACTTGATTCACAAAAACCGTTGCAAAAACCTCGCGTGTATATTAATCGCATTCGACGAGAGAAACTGCATTAATGGCCTCATAGTGGTCTCATTAACGGCACGATGTGCTTTTCGCAATTGTTTTATTCGTTTGCTCTATAAAAGGGGGGGGGGGGGGGAAAGCAATGAAACATCTGGCATCTCACGGTCGAGTAAATGTCAGCGAAGCAAATTGTGCACGAGGATGGCCATCGCCTCGGCGAGCCGGCTGCCGGCAGCCTCACCGTTATGGCATGAAGTTTCTCCTTGGCCTCGCAGTCCGTGTCTATGCACACCTTTTGTGGATTTTCAGAGAAGGAGATGAAGCTATCGTAAGTGGCACTGATGTGCGCATTTAAACCTAGGAAGAGATACAACACACACACACACGGAACAACAACAGCAACAGCAACAGCGCATCCACTACAATCCATCTCAACATTGTTCACCGCGGTGCACGCTCATGCGCCACATGATTATTTTGCTCCTCCTCGGCATTTGGCATTTAAAATCGGAATATTTCTCGGAATCAGAATATGTATTAATAGTGGAAGAATCCGATGAGCTATAAAGCGCTTTTTCACGGATGTCACCGGCGTAACCATCAATCCCCCTCCGAACACCAACAGGTCGTTGCACACATCTCCTTCGTAAATGAAAAATTATAAGTTACAAATTATCGGCGGCGGTGCAATCGTGACCATGCAATCCAAAAAATATTGGGCCACAGAGTAAACCACTGTGGTCTGCGCTCCTCCGACACAGGAGGAATCGTAACGCTACACGAACTCGCTCCTGGAGCCCTCTCGCGTCTTGCAGACCTCCTGAAAACACTGTCATGCACAAGAATTGAACAGCATTATTTCAAATGCTGCTTGACATTGGCGGCCACCATGCACAAACTAGGTCGTCACATGGCTTGTGGGGCTACGTGGTGTGCCACAGAAGGCAGTGCGCACAAAAAGTCCATTGTTGAACTGTATTTATATGCTCCCACATCTATGCTCCGCACTTTCACCAACCCGCACTGGCCAATTTAGTTATATATGGCCAAGTAACTCCCACGACCAGCAGAGACCTTATCCGGACGAAAGTGCTTTACATGTACTGTATGCATTTTAGTTATAGGACACAAACGCTGTTGTTGTTTTTGATTTAAAGCTTTCGTGACTGCAGTAATTCATATTCTTAGCTCTTTCGGTAAAGTCACGTTGAAGGGAAACAATAAAAGAAGAAAATATATATATAAAACAATAAAAAACATTCTCACGACGTTTCGACCATAACACCTGATGACGACCGTTTGTGTTATGGTCGAAACGTCGTGAGAATTTTTTATTTTTTATAGTTTTTATTGTTTTATATATTTTTTATTATTTTATTGATTCCCTTCAACGTGACTTTACCGAAAGAGCTAAGAATATGCTGCTGTTGTTTTTTTCCCACTGAGCGTTACTCATTGTCTTGACTCCAGAGGGTAGATGGGTTCATTCGACCTTGCACCCGTGCCCTCTGTGCAGCGCCGCCTGGCTGGGAAGACATCCTCTACTGTGGCAATTATCCTGGTGACGCAGCTTGCTTTAAAAGAAACCCATAATTTTCGTCGTTCAGGTTGCGACAGGAACGCATCGTGCCAGTGCCCCTGCGCGACAAACGGTGAATTCGCCTTCAGCAAATTCTGCCCTTTCATGCTCAGCAATAAAAGTGAGGCGATGCGATTGGTAATAGATTTTTTTTTTGAGTCAACACGGCCACCAATAATCGGCAGAAGTACTATCAGGGATTGGCAGGAAATTAAATGTATGAAACATCTGTCTATGATTTTCATTATGTAAAAGCTGCACAACTTTCTATCCGATCTTAAGTATTCATGGGATATTTCCGTTTTGGCCAAACCAGACGGCAGCTGTACTAACAGTGATGACACCAAAAAAAGATTAAAACACATGTGGTGGTGTTCGCTGTTCTGAGCTACGCATACTTGGCAAGTGGGGTGAGTACACAGGCTGGCCAACACAGATTAAAATTACCATCGCTTGAGAAACCATACAAAGAGTATTTTTTTTACTACAAGATTTTGACGTGATGCAAAAATAAGCACGGTTTGACTCTTCAACCGGTAGTAGTTGATCTTTCTTTGTTAGCGGTGCCTAGAACAGCCATTTAACAACGGTTGTAGTCCTGTAATAAGCGCCATCGTGAAGGAAACCAAAAATGCAAGCGAGAGTCCGAAATCAGAAAAAAAACTGCTTCGTATGCACGTTGGGTAGCGGAGGTAAGAGAGCAGTGTCGGATTATATTATCCTAGTAGCACAAGTAGCTACATTTGCTCCGGGCCCCGCACTTTCAAAGGCCCCGCGCTAAATGCTTTCAAGCTATCAATTCCGGTTCAGTGATTCTGCACTTGCTCTATTACTATAGTACTATACCGCCTTCGACTTTTATGAACGACTGGGTGTGCAAGGTTAGCGATCTGTCGTATTATCTGGCTGTATAGCAAATGAAAAAATACAATGACTTTCCTCTGCAAGTTAAAAATTTGTGTTTTAATATTTACGAGTTTTTTTTTGTTGTTGTTAAATTTAGGTCCCCTTTGTAGCATATGCCACATGCCCCGCACCAGCTTAATCCGGCACTCTTTGAGAGCCCTGGCCGTTGTTACGGAGTTGCTGGCAGAATTGCGAGGGGACAGGACTCCGTGTTTCCCAACTCGGTGACCCACTGAGGCTCTCGTTAAACAAAAAAAGCAAAGTTTACATTTCACAAACTGACTGCAAATTTGCACCGTCCACATGTAATCACATGTACTGAACATGTATGTGTGTGTGTGTTTTAAACATTACGCGTGACGTACACATTACATGCATTACAAACATTGTGTGCATACAAGTCCATAATAGAGGTTTTTGGTGCTAGATCGCGTAAATATATTAATGTGTCGTCAAAACCCGCCACCACCCGACACAGCCAACTAGTAAGGGTTGTCACGTAAACAGAACGTGGCCAATTCGTCACGAGTACAGCACGTCGGTGTGTTGCAGAGCTTAGCCACAACATTTACAATCTGAGTACAATGTTTCGCCTACAAGTATTTTAATGTGACACAATCAAGCCACTATTAAGGAAGTAATTGCCTCTCCACTGAATTTCACTGAATTACATACTAGTGTTTAGTTTGTTGTCCTTCCCCCGCACCTCCGATTAGCACGGTTGGCTACGTACGGTGCGAAAGAGGTTCAACACGCATACAGTTTGTGCGCACGTGTCCGTGTTAATGTGTTAACTTCTCACGCCCGAGTGTTTGTGTTCACTATTTTAGGGGGGGCATGATTCACCCCAACCCTCTGGAGATATAATGGATTTGTCACGACGCACGCCTCACGTTGTAACTTATAATGTGTATGATTACACGTTTTTTTCTTTGATATGTCATTTGTAAAAAAAAAATTATTATGTGAGCTTGAGTGTATTATTCAAATGTTATCATCATCAGAGAATATCAAGCTACTGTTGGATGAAGGCCCTCTCCAAGCTTTCGTTATCGTTCGCGTTTGCCTACACACGAGCTTTCATTACTCCAGCTACATTGTGGCCAATGCTCTCAGGCATGTTCACTCCTTTGGCTGCCGTTCCACCGTTAGCCTCGACCACTGGCCATGCACAATCCCTGCTGGAGCAGTAGCGGTGCAGTGGTCGGCTCCGCACGCCTGCAATGCGGCACTCTGCAGGCGAGAGTTCATCACACAGACGACACGAAACTCACTGCCCACGTGGGCATCAGAGAGGTGTCCATACCCTTGGCTCTCCTCCGCAGTGCTGCATCGCAGGCGCTGATAGCCACCACTGCCCAGCTACCACCACTTTCTCAGATGTGTGTTTACAGCTGCGTTAGCCCCACAGATGATATCTTCACCAGTGGCATCACCCATTTGGTGCAGATATTGTGCGTGACTTCTGTTTGCCTCGCGCGGTATTCATCGCGAGCTCAACTCTGCCCTCTCATTCATCGTAACATTCTTCAAGTAGCAAGACAGATTAAGGAGACGGACTTTCACCAATGTTGTTCGCAGAGACATTCCACGGTGGTTTTCCATGAACGGAATGAGAACAATAAAGGCATAAGTACGTAAACGGAGTGAATATTGACCACTTCACATTCGTTGATTGACGCGGTCATCGTCATCAATTATTATTACAGGAAATTTTAATTGATAGGAAGACATTTCTTTTAGGACATTAATAATAAAATGTTTCGGGTTAGATCACGTGAATATAAATGTGTCGTTAATCCCACCACCACCCGACGCAGATAATTAGTAAGATTTGTCGCGTGAACAAAACGTGTCAATTAGTTACTACTTCAGCACACCGGTGCGTTGGAGAGTAAACCCACAACATTTACAATTTTAGTAACGACGTTCCGCTTGGTGATTACAACCAGCTTCACGCCTGATGGATATATTTCAGAACGCATTTGCAGATCATTCACACAACGTTGAGAAACATCGATCGTTACTCGAGTTGTTCAGTGCAAATATGGCGAGCCTCTAGATATTTATATTAATTGATAAATACTTTTATAATTTCCCCCCCACCCCAACATTTCTATAATGTCCTTCATCTGTGCCTTCAACGCTCTGCCTAACCTCAAAGTGCACAGTGGCATCACCATCGGTGAATTAAGCGTGGTTGCGGTTCTCTGCATTTGTCTGGGTTTATATATGTATTGTGAACTATGGAAATAAGTATTTTGGAAGTACATCTAAGAGTGATGGGTTAAAGAATGAATAAATAAGGAAGGGGACGGTGGGGTTTGGTCACCGATGCTGCTGTTGTTAAAGCAAAAGAAACCGAGCGGCAATTTGGTGACTGAGAGAGGAGAGAGACAGGATTCTGAGAGACAGAGAGAGGAGGCGGGGGGGGGGGGGGGGAAGAAGCAGAGGAAGGCAGCGGAAGGGATAGCAGTAGTTGAGACGACATCACGGATTTCGAGAGGCCAGTGCTGGACGGGAGCATTGGGAAGGAATTTACAAACATTGTTGGAGGCCTTTGCCTTACAGTGGTAAGTCACAGCCGAACAACAACAGCAACATACACATAGAGTACTACGCACGTCAATTCATGCCGCCTATCATTTTTAACTTGTCTTTTTGCTCTTTCGAAACTAACGTCGAGTCCCGCGGGCAGCTCACCTGCCGAGCGTAGCCTTCGATTGGCGTGCTCGATCCCGAGCGCTATGAACGGAGCAACCTTGTCGAGGGACCATGGCAGATGATCGTTCTGGATGAGAATCACGTTCACCAGGTACTCCACGGTGGCCTCACCGCCTTCCGCGGCGAGACACGGCACCACCACCACCAGCAGCACCAGCAGCAGCAGCGGCGGCGGCGGCGGTGGCAGCCACGGAACCGAGCGCAGAGCCATGGCCGAGCCACGCGCTTGTGACACCCAGACAGACGGCGGCGACTCCTCCGGCGCCTCGCACGGCTGGCGCGGAGACTCGACCGGCGGTGCGGAGGATCAGCTCGCGGTCTCCGAGACTTTGTGAGCGAAATTGTAAAACGGCGGAGGGGAGGAGGGGGGTGTGAGAGGGAGTGAAATTAGTCAATAATCAAACGGCACGGTGCAAAGAAGGATTTGTCGTAAAGTCAAAGTCCATACGATTTGAACTTGTCGCTGCAAAGGGACATTTTGCGGTGGATGTGCTGTGAGAGTATTGTGCGGGCTTTGTGTGCACATGCGCACGTGTATCAGAATCAGAATATTTATTTAAACTGGAGGAATCCGATGAGCTGTAAAGTTCTTTTTTTCACAGATGTGCAGTAAAGTATGTCCGCGCGTGTGTTGTGTGCAATTTTTGTGCCCATTACATTTGTATTAACGAGGGTGTTCATTTTTGCCACGAGTGTGCATGTGTGCGGAGGATTGTAATGGCCCATGGGTTACCATTCTGCACTACGATCCCAGTGACTTGGAAATCTGGGTTCAATTCCTGGCCACGCACAGCACCAGTGGCATTTCATGAAATCTGATCGTGACCCAGGCCACGTCTTGGTTTGGCGCGTCTTAAAAGGGCACCCTGGTGCACATTGCGTGAAAACCAAACACTGGCGTGACATTTCTAGATTTGAAGCTTTCGTGACTGCAAGGATCCATACTCTTTGGTTCTATTCGGTAAAGTCACGTAGGTAAAAAAATAAAACAACAACAAAATCACGACGTTTCGGCCACAACACAAGTGGCCTTCATCAGGTGAAGGGACCAACCTGTCCAGAGGACAGCGTTGGAGTGAAGAAAGTCAAGCGCAGGTCGCCTCCTTTAAGCTGTGAGGGGGTAAACAGAAAAAAAAAACGCCTTGACAAAGGAATTAGCATAAAATGTAAAGCTGTGCAAGCTTGGCAGCAGAAGTGAGTGTGAAAGTGATGGGTATTACCTTGTGGTCGCGGTATCTTTTGAGGAAGGTCAGCGCGTCTCGATGAGCTGTGACTTCTTGTCCCATTGTCTGTTGAAAGCTCTAACAGGCGACCTCCGGCTTGACTTTCTTCACTGCAACGCTGTCCTCTGGACAGGTTGGTCCCTTCACCTGATGAAGGCCACTTGTGTTGTGGCCGAAACGTCGTGATTTTTTGTTGTTTTGTTTTTTTACCTACGTGACAATTGAGGCCAGGTGAAGTGTTGACCACACCGTCCATTCATGTTCCTCGGTCATCCTTCTTCATGGAGCACATTCACAGTCAGTCTTCTCCTTCTTCCGCAAAGCGGCAGAGAGCTGATTGGCAGAGCGCTTCTACCTTCGTGTCGAGATTGGCGGGTGATCCGGTGGACGAGCTCCAGGAGTAGGCTGGTGAACGTCTGGATTGCTGCTGGCGGGCGAGCTATCAAAGCCTGGCAGTGGCGTCAACGTGGTCCCTGGCTTGAGATTTACACTCACATTGAGGTCCGTAGACTTACATCGGGACTCGTAGGCTCACGTGGAGGTTCATAGACTTTTATAGACTCAACATAGAGATTCATAGACTTACATAGAGACCCCATAGGCTCATACGGAGGTTCATAGACTTCAATAGAGACTCGTAGACCCGTATAATCACCCCTAGTTTTACGTAAAGCCCAAAGTATGTACTTGGATACTATGGGCCCGGGGAATTGAGGAGCAATGTACGTCATTTTCACGTGGAGGTTTGGTGAGTGAGCCAGCGGTTGGACATAGAAAAAGCCTCAAGGCGAACGTCCAGGGATTCTGCTGGCGAATCGTCGAAGAAGCGGACAGTGGTGGCGACGTTCTGAAGTGTGACTCGGCGAGCCTGCGAGGTTGCAGCTGGAACGGTTCCCACGTGCGCGCACACCACGTGGCAACAGTGCACATGCAGAACGGAGCTCCCTGAGCGTCGTGGCAGTTTTCTGATGGGTGGATGTCCGTGGGAATGCATCATCTATCCCATTGGAATATGCCAAAGTTAGGAATTTCCAAATTTAACGGTGGTGGTGGGGTAGGGGGGTGGGCGGGTGAACAACCTTTCCCTCAACTTGAAAGTGATTTCCTTGAAAGAGAGGCATGAAGTCAACCCGCAGTTTGGCTGCCCGAGACGACACAAGCTGCGTGGACGGCTTCTCTTCGTTTCCATCGCGGGTGTCGACGGGAGCCGAGGGAGGTGTCCACTGAGAATATTTGACGCAACCGACTAAAGCAACCACTGGTCCCTATGGGGGCGTCCATAAATGACGTCACGTGATTTTGGACGATTTTTGTCCCCTCCCCCCCCCCCCCCATCGTCACACGGTGTCACAAAAAGTCAGACCCCCAACCTCAAATATGATGTCACAAAGCTTTTGCCCCATCCCCCCCCCAAAAAAATATATTTCCATTTTGAAAATAAAACATTGTCATTGTAGCGCGTATTTAATGTGGCGCTGCACCCTGATGCTGTAGGAGTGTTGTTATAGCAATTAGTGTTGTTATAACAATTCTTTATTCATTTAAAGTTGCGCATTTTTATGTGACGTCACATTTCTCACCCCCCCCGCCTCGTCATACATCGTCACAAAAATCTGACCCCCCCCCCACCCAAGGTGCATGACGTCATTTATGGACGGCCCCTAAGCAACCGGAAGGGTCTGTTGGGACCGGCCGACAACGGAAACGCTGCCTTACCAAAGACCTCGCCACCCATTTATCAGAAGTGGTGAGAGAGGGGGTGGGTGGGTGAGTGGTTAGGGGCAGGCAATCGGACCCAGTTAGGTTGACAAGGAAAGCTCACAGGAAACTCGAGGCTTGTGGCAAGGGAGGAGTGTGGGGGGGGGAGGGGGGCTCTGGACAATACTCTTTGGTTCTCTCGGTAAAGTCACGTAGGTGAAAAATAAAGTAACAAATTAAATAAATATAAATAAATTGCGCCGTTTCGATTGCAACACGAGCAATCATCATCAGGTGTGACAACCACAGCAATAATTTTTTTGTTTTACTGAAGTGGGAGAGATGCAGGAGTTAAGAGGTTTATATTGACAATACAAGGAGGGCTCACCGATTGTAACCGGGTGAAGGGGCGAATGGTTTACGGGAAGCTGCGGTGCCTCGCGCTTTGCGGCTCTGGTCACGTCGTGCCGTAACAGGATTAAACGAATCCGCGACACAATGCTAAATTATGTCAAGGTAGCAGGACGTCGGATCGGCGTCAAGGGGCGGCCGACTGCGGGAGGATTTTTTTTACGATCCGCATAATCGTCTCGTTTTACATCCAGAAAACACGTGGCAGCAATCACTTTAACGATTGTTTTTTTTTCCGCTAAAGTCACGTATGTAGGAATACCATAACATTATATTAAAACAAATCAATCACGACGTTTCGACCGCAACACAAGCGATCCTCATCAGGTGTAAAAAAAAAGCAAATCACAAAAGCTTTAATTCTTTATTTTCACTTTAACGATGTCAAATGCCGTATTCAAAATATCGCAGCTTGATCCACGCTTGATCCAAGCTCGAACACGCACACACGCGCACACACGCGCACGTATTCAAAATATCACAGGCACGCGTGATCCGTTTACAAACGCACGCGCGTGCCGTGATTTACCATGTCCTGGGCCCCTCTTGCGAAGGCAAGGGGGGGCTCGTTCGAGCGCTCCCTAGGTTGGCGCTTCGATGCGTGTTTTTTGACCACCTGGAAAATTACGGGGGGGGGCCTGCCGCCTTTCCATTACACACAGAAGCCCCTCCGGTAATCTGTCGGACACTTTGAATGCTGCGGGCCTGGAAAAATTACCCGTTAAGTGCACTTTGTTAAAGCATTTGGCTTACAAGGGGGGGGGGTTGTAAGATAATAGCCTCGCCTATTATGCATGATGAATACCATGAGGTTAAGTGTCTGTTCCCATGAGTGTCAGTCCCAAAGTAACCTATTATTCACTTACATTGGGGCAAGCGGGAAGAAAACTATTAGTTTTAATATCGCCGCGTTCCAAACGAACGCTACTTAAATGCATATTGAGGATTTCTGCAAAACGGCATACGCGTGAACACATCTTGAATGCTTTTGCGTGTAGCGTTAAGAGCGTTATTTCACGAGAGATCCGTCCGTGTCTATAGGCAGCAGTCAAGGTAACCGTCCTCAGGCAGATCCCAATACAATTGCAATTTGAGCTTAAAACTCTGTTTCTATTGGGGACTTTCTCTGTAAAGGCAAATACTATAGATCATTGGGTTGCCCAAAATGTAGCCATAAATGGGTAAGCTTTGTCGGCCAAGGTAACGTCTCCCCTTCCGATAAAGGCGTGAGCCGTGTGGCGTTATCGCGGTGAGGCTATAAACGTAACAACATCATCGCGAATTAAAATACTTAATAGAAAAACGCATCTTGAAAGGCATTTATCAAAGAATCCGTGCGCACGCATGATTTTTCCTCCCCTTTATTCAGTTTTATCCGGCGGAGAAGAAATGTAATTAATGCATGACTCCCTCGCTGCACATTACAGTAACTCATAATGTAGCAAGAGAAAATCGTGACCATTTATGCAAAATGAAACGTCACATATGCGTCAATGTCCTTTATTGATGATACAAAAACTTCCCCTGCCAGAAACAATAACACTCTTCTAAAACACAACATTAAAAAAACGCAAAGCAGTTTTTGTTTCAGTTTGACAAGGCTCTACGGAAAGAATTGAAAAACCCACTAAAAGCCAAGCAAAAGCAAATTAAAACCATTTCTAATGACTCGTGCCAACTGCTACACAGTCCACCGCTAATTAAACTAACAAGCGTGTCGCTTTTAAAAGTCAAAGCCGGGTTCACACTGGACAATGTACAAGATCAAAACATACCAACATGAATATTCTGAGGAATTTTAAGACGTAACCTGTGATCTTAAAAGAAACCAGACTACCCAGTTCAGGGGCAACTTTCAATTCCCAATTATTATTTTTTCCATCGAATACGGAACATCAAGGAACTTCACGATCATTATCCGTGCCACGTGCCCAGTTGTGTCAAGCCTTGCGCCATTGCCGCCGACGCCCAATTGCAGCGGGTGGCACGGAAA